CAATGTAAAAACAAGCAAAGAATTGAGTCATTTTTTAAAAAGTGCTGTGATGCTTACCCTGGATCTTAATAATGTAATGAAAAAACAGTCCACTATTACAACCTATAATTTTTTCCCCTAACTCCACTCGCGGTGGGCAGGAAATCCTATGAAGAAAACATTGCAGTGGAAAGATATGTCATGGTGAGTTGAGAATCCTGGAATATTTGATAAGGAATTGTGGCCACTGTGACCGTCTAGCATTTAGGGAGAAAGATGGTGACCCCTTCCATTCACAAATAACATAAACAAGAATATGAATATGAATAGTCTAGCTGCTGGATCAGACCAAAGGTCTACAGTGGTGCCCTGCAAGACGAAAGCCTCGCAAGACGAAAAACTCGCTAGACGAAAGGGTTTTCCGTTTTTTGAGTCGTTCCACAAGACGAATTTCCCTATGGGCTTGCTTCGCAAGACGAAACATCTTGTGAGTTCTTGCGAGTTTGTTTCCTTTTTCTTAAAGCCACTAAGCCGTTAATAGCCGCTAAGCCGTAAGCCGCTAAGCCGTTAATAGCCGCTAAGCCGCTAATAGCCGTGCTTCGCAAGACGAAAAAACCGCAAGACGAAGTGACTCGCGGAACGGATTAATTTCCTCTTGCGAGGCACCACTGTATCTTGTCTAGCATTCTCTGCTCACAGCAGCCCGCTAGATGCCCCAATGGGAAGCCTACAAGCGGGACACAAGTGCAAAAGTGCTCTCCCCATGTGCAATTCCCAGCAACTGGGATTCAGAGGTGATACAACAGGCTTCCTCTTTTGAGGGATATCCAGAAAGAGCAGCAAAGTCCTGTTTGCTAGAATGGGCACACAGTGGAATGCGGATCCAACAGGGAGAACTTGCTGTCAAACCTGCAGGAGCCACTCCTCCTGGGTGAGATGTGCGTAACTATAAGAAGGGCTGGTCCTGTATCTCTCTCTCTCTCTCCCTCTCTTACTTCATCTTGCTCGTTTGCCTTCATCACGCATCTTCTACCACTGCTTTTGACTCCATCATCCTATATACACACAAATGTACCTCCAGATTGCTACTGAATGTGATCTGTAAGTAAACACTATTTTATTCTAAAAAGACTTTTTTTGTGTGTTATTGTTTTAAGTGGGATAAAAGGGGGGAAATACCTGGAAGAATCCAGGCTGCACCAAGGCATTCTGGTTGCTTCATCAAAAAGGCTGTAACCAGCTGAATCAACAGCTTCCTATTCTGCTGCAAAGGGATGTACTCTGCTGTACTCACAAACTTGAGTAAGGAAGGATAATATCTAACTAATATATCATCTCCTAGTTACCATACACTTTCCAACATCTGTGTTTAGATGTGAAACTGAAATGTAGTTGTCTGATATTCATTTTAGCAGAGAACTGGGCTATATTCCTTTGGTTGCTGCCCAATGTATTTCAGCTTTTGATTTTATCTATATTTTCATAATTTTATTATGTCCACTTGTTCTAAGAGTTTGATGTTTTAGATTATTTTATGTGAACCGCTTAGAGGTCTTTTATCTATTTATTCTTTTTGATTAGGTAGTATACAAATAAATGTTGAGAGAGAGAGAGAGAGAGAGAGAGAGAGAGAGAGATGGTCTGCTTATAACTTTGCAGAAAACCAATAAATACAATAAATAAACAGGAACCAAATGATTTGCAAATATGTCTGCAAAATCCAACCCTTTCTGGTCGACAATCACCCTAGAGGTATGCAGTTAATGCCTCTACCATCAATACACACACACAAACACAATTGCTGGCTTGCTTGCTCAATTTAACAGTGTAGTTCTGCTGTTCTAAAGCATTTGTCTCCCTTTACAATTGTTATGCAGTGGAGAAAATAAGAAGGTAGAAAGCTTCACTAAGCATTCAAGCTATGAGGGAGCTGGGAATCTGGGGAGGGTCAGGAGGTCGCAGACATTAAAAGGAAATAGGATTTTGTTTGTCCTTAATGGAGGACCTTATCCCCTCTGGATCCCTAGAAGAAGGCCCCATTCCCTGCCATTAGTTAGGAAAGGCTGGATGGAACACTCTTTGTTGAGCCTCAAAGACGCTCCCAGGTCAATTGCAGGGCAAGCGGCTCAGTAGATTAACATGTTCATTCTGCTGGCTGGCTACACACTGCCTTCCTGCTGAACTAGCAAGACAGCCTGCCTGGTTCATAGGAGCGTGTGCCTTGAAAAATCTTTGCAAACTGGTAGGGATAGGCAAATCATCCATTTCAGTTTCTCTGTTTTCCAGTATTAAGTTCAGGTCTCCACTTCAGGTTGTAATATTTATTTTTTTAAGTCCTTGTGAAAATTTGTCAGCATTTTACTGCAATTTTCTCCTAAGAGACACATTTTTAATGCAATTTTGTCTAATAGACACATTTTTGCAAGACAATTTCCCCAGCTATAGTGAATTTTTCTACTTTGTTTTCCCAAGTGTATGTAGCTTTTATGCACATTTTACTTTGGTTATATGCATTTCTGCACATATTATTGGGGTGAGAAACTGCATTGCAAAATTTGGAGAAGTGTAAATTTTGAAAGTTGGCTGTGTTCTGGTGTGCATGTTATTTCAGAAAGTGCAAATTAGGCAGATTCGTATTTAAATATGCAAACTTTATCAAATTTCTCTCTCATGCCCTTCCTTTCATTTCCCTCTCCACTTTCCTTAGACTGGCCTTCACATCCAAGTTCATTCTAGGCTTGTTTTTGTGAAGGTGGCATAATCATGCTTGGAAGACAAAGCAGTCAGAGTATTTTGATACATAACACCCTCCTTTCTCTTGCCTTTCATTCTCCTCCCCTTTTTGGAACACACCATTTTAACATTCCACTAACAAAGTACCTCAAAGGGCAAAGCAAGGATGGAAGTGGGGTTACTCTATTTCAGCAAACGATGGCAATGATCTGCTTTACAGTCAAGGGTCGCAGACAGGGCCGTCTTAAGCATATCCGGCACCGTGGTGCAAATATCTCCCCCACCCCGTTTCCCAGAGTTGTCGACCTTTTTTAAGGGGGGGAGGGACTTCGGTCTGGCTCGTTTACATCGCATGGTCTGACGCGCGCTCGGTGCTGTACGTAAGTAAGAGGCGTCCGGATCGCAACCCAGACGGCCTCCCATCCTTGCTTGGTGCTGGGATTGCACAGGGCACTTCCCTGCTCCACTCGCAGACTCCGCAGGGAGGCGCACAGGCAGAGATGCGGCCAGAAAAGGGTGGGAGAGACACGCCCACCCCATGCTGCCCCTGCCCCCGATTGCACCCGCCAGACGCCCAGGCAGCCCCAGAGGGAGGGGACGCAAAGGGGCTTCCCTGAGCCGGACACAGCGCGCTCCGATGGGTGGCTGAGAGGAGAGGAGCGGGCTGCCTCAGAGCAGGGAAGGGAGTGCACCCTGACTCTCCATCCCAGACACTCAGCCTGTGGCGCCCTCCAAAATCTGGCACTCTGGCGCCCTGCGCCACTAATGTAAGACGCCCCTGATCACAGAAAGGAAAATACTTCTCAGGGCTGGGCCCCACTGTCCGAATGACCAAGAGTCTGAATCCGATACCCAACAGGTACCTGCAAGCTCCTGGAAGCCACAGAACAACACACATTACAAAGAGGGGCATAAACTGAATCACAATTTCCAAGCAGAAACAAAAAGCATCAAACAATAAATGGTAATTGTAGCTTAGTTGGCAGAACATCTGCTTTGCATGCAGAAGGTCCTAGGTTCAATCCCGGGGATCTCAAGGTAGGGCTGGGACTGACCCCTGTCGGAAACACTGCTAATAAGTGTACACAATCCTGAGCTAGACGGACTAAAAGTATGGCTCAGTATGGCAGCTCTCTGTTCTCCTAATGTGCTTGCATTCATTCAATTCAATTGTTTTGGAGCAAATATACAGATCTGGAATAGTCAGTATAATGCCCTAAAGATTTTGTTGGCTTCCTACTCCTATCATGCCAGGCCAGCATAACTATTAGCCAAAAATGATGGGAGTTTCAGTCCAAAAAGATACAGAGGGCACCACATTGCCTACCTCTGATGTAGATAAATTTTGATATAGATAATTTTACTCCGCTATCCGCTCCAGATGTGTTCACATCTCACCAAAAGCTTTGTTACTTTACTTGGACAGTACATTTTGACCTCTATTTTGATTCACTGTTACAAGTGGAATTAGCCAGGGAACATGTTGACTTTGTACTAATTGCTCAGTGTTTGCAGAAAAACACCAAATGTCCAATACTTTGTGCATTTATTTCATTGTTTAAATACGGCCAATATTTTTAAGAATTTCTGGCAGATCTGTGTCCTCCACTTTGGAGAGGTTCTATTCTAGTGTTGCAGTGCTTCTTCCATTTCAACAGAAGTGAGTCAGGATAGAAATCAGCCAGTTACCTACTAGGAACATAGGAAGCTGCCTTATGCAGAGTCAGACCATTATCTACACTGACTGGCAGCTGTGACTCTCCAGAGTTTCAGAGTGGCCTACCTGAAGAGGCTGGAGACTCAACATGCATGCGAAGCAGTCACTCTACCACTGAGCTAGTAATTTACCCCATTAAAATATTAACTCTGATTGGTGCTCTCCTAACACATCATGGTAGTTAAGGCCCAGCATCTAGACAAGAAAAAAGTAAAAAGAGTGGCAGCATGTTCCACAGGAAACAAAACATCCCCAAATGTACCAGTACTTTCTGGCACATCTGAACAAAGCAAGCTATGCCTTTGAACACAGGACTATCTGCAGGAGATCTGTCACTGACATCCCTAACACAGAGATGAGGAACATGTAGCCTTTGAGATGCCTTCTTAACTCCTATCTGCCCCGCCAGCACAGCCAGTGGCTAGGGATATGATGTGAGTTGTTGTTCCATAGTACCTGGAGGGCCACAGGTTGCCTAACACTGCCCTAATGAAGTAACAGCAATACACTTCCCTCTAGTGTTCTTCTTCCATATGGGGGCTGCAATAAAATCAGGAGGGTGCCAGCTTACCTTTTTAGTCTTCACTGTTGAGGCACAACAGTCCCCACCATCATAGTTGCAAAAGGCTCGGTTATTGTTCCCATCACAATAGTTGTCTCCCATAAAAGGCTGAAAGAAAGAAGCCAAATTGAGACAACAACAACAACAACAACAACAACAACAACAACAACAACAACAATATTGGATCAGCCCAATGGCCCACTTCCTCCGGCATCCTGCTCTCACAGTGGCCAACTAGATGCCCCAATGGGAAGCCTACAAACAAGACCTGGGCACAACGGCACTTATCCCCCAGCAGGCCTTCTGGCTGATGGACAAGGCCTATTGGTCAATTACCTGGTGTCACTATTACAACCGGTAATTCATTTCACCTCTCATGTGACATGCAGCATGCTGTGCCACAAAGGTAAATCCACGCCTAGCCAAGCAGGGCTTGAAGTTGCCTTTGAATGGCTGATGGGTTCTGACTTCCAAATTCCACTTTTGCATGGCACATACTTAAACTGTGCAGTTCACTCCCACAAGATGCAGTGGGTGACCACCAACTTGGGTGGCTTGTAAAGTGGATTGGACAAATACAAGGAGGAGCAGGCTTTCAATAACTACTAGCTATAATGACGTTCCATGTCCAAAGTTGGAGGCAGTATGCCTCTGAATGCCATTTACTAGCATTCAAAGGTGGGGAAAGCGCTGTTGTGCTCAGGTCCTACTTGCAGGCATCTCATTGGGGCACCTGGCTGACCTAGTGAGGACACAATGCTAGGCTAGATGGATCTTTGGCCTGATCCAGAAGCAGGGCTATTCTCACGCACTTACAACACAGTTGGCTGCTTGCACAAAAATCACACCATTTCATTGTTTCCCCATGAAACTGTCCTGCCTGCTGCTGTTTTTGCAGGTGGGGGTCACTTAATTGCATCCCACAGTTCCCATTATGTGACCATTAGGGCTCTCCTGTTCCACTAATCCTAGATGGAGACACACGCTGTCCTTTCGGAAGAAGAAACTGTCTCTGGAAAATGAAGTAGGGAGCTAAAAGCAGCCCTTGTTTTGTTTGCAGCTAATTAATTGTGTGGGGTTTTGTTTTGTTTTTTAATAGCAGGAGAAATAAAACATAGGGACATCTGAAGAACAATCAGTGAGGACATTTTGGCACACTTTCCTTTCTGTGGAGCCAAGGTCAAGCTCATAAATATTTCAAGGGGACACTGTGAAACATTTTAGACCCCATAAGTTTTTAAATCACAGTTATTCCCCTCTCTCCATACGCAAACCTGCCCTTGAGGGGCTAGAGGGGAGCATCAATGCCCTTCATTGAGTACCATGACAGGAGAGCTGTCAGCTTGCTCATTGTAAATTTCTAAATTCCTCTTTAATCATTGATGGACTCTAGGGCACTGTACAGCAACACAATACAGTGGTACCTCGGGTTACATATGCTTCAGGTTACAGATGCTTCAGGTTACAGATGCTTCAGGTTACAGACTCTGCTAACCCAAAAATAGTACCTCGGGTTAAGAACTTTGCTTCAGGTTGAGAACAGAAATTGTGCGGTGGCAGTGCAGCGGCAGTGGGAGGCCCCATTAGCTAAAGTGGTGCTTCAGGTTAAGAACAGTTTCAGGTTAAGAACGGACCTCCAGAATGAATTAAGTTCTTAACCCGAGGTACCACTGTACAGTAGAAGAGAAACTGAAACAGCAACAAAACTCTTCCACAGGCCCATCTAGTCCAGCATCATGTTCTCACATGGGTTACCCAGATGCCTCTAAGAGGCTCACAAGCAGGACTTGAGTGCAACAGTGCCTTCCCCACTGGTGATTCCCAGCAACAGGCATTCAGAGGTTTGCTGCCTCCAACAGTGCAGGGAGAAAATAACCAGCATGGTTATTTTCCATTGATAGCCTTTGCTGCCATTAATTCATTTAATCTTTCTTCAAAGCCACCATCACTGCATACAGTGGTGCCCCGCAAGACGAATGCCTCGCAAGACGAAAAACTCGCTAGACGAAAGAGTTTTCCGTTTTTTGAGTCGTTCCGCAAGACGAATTTCCCTATGGGCTTGGCTTCGCAAGACGAAACATCTTGCGAGTTCTTGCGAGTTTGTTTCCTTTTTCTTAAAGCCGCTAAGCCGTTAATAGCCGCTAAGCCGCTAATAGCCATGCTTCGCAAGACGAAAAAACCGCAAGACGAAGAGACTCGCGGAACGGATTAATTTCGTCTTGCGAGGCACCACTGTATTTTAGAAACCAGCTTAAAATGCCTGAGATAATGGCATGAAATGAATCACAGAGCCATTCTAGGGAGTGTGTGCCAAAGCCGGGGTGCCACCACAGAAAAGATCATCTCCTTTGTGCATACATAACCAGGCTTCCCCAACCGATGGTTGTCGGAGAAGGGCCTTATTTAAGGATCTTACTGCACAAACAGGATGGTACAGGAAGAAGTGTTCCTTCAGGTATCTAGGTCCTGAGACCTTTAGAACCTTAACGGAGGGATAGGGAAGTTGTGATCCTCCAGCTGTTGTTGCACACCAATTCCCACCATCTTTGGCCTGCAGCCTGGGACTGACAGGAACAGAGGTCAGAGAAAGCTTACGCTGAGTCAGACCAATGGATTTTCTTGCTCAGCACTGCCTACACTGATTGGCAGCATCTCTCCAGGATTTCAGAGAAGGGCCTCTCACTACCTGGCGATGCCATTGGGGAATTGAACCATGGGACCTTCTATGCACAATGCAGATGCTCTACCCCTGAGTTATTGCCCCCCCCCATTAGAATGGAAGTCCAACAGTCTCTGGGAGCCATAGGTTTCCACCCCTGCTTTAAAGCTTAACATCAACACTTGAATCAGGCTCAGGGACGAGTAGGCAGCCAATGTCATTCTTTCAGAGTTGGTATAATATAGTTTCACTTAGCTAAAACATTCAGAATCCAAGCAGCCAGATTCTGAACTAAATTGAACTTCTGAATAATCTCAAGGGGATTATGCCTTCTAGAAGCTCATAAATGAAGAAGGGGTCTCAGGCATATTCCAGTCTTGGGCATGCTCCTGTTGTCAAGGATAAACGTCCAAGTCCTTCAACCCAACCCACAAATACACATGATTGTAAAATTATGATTTTTACGTTCCACACTATCTTCCCAAGATGACAAACATGTGGTTCTGAAGCGGTCACCCAACCAGGAACTTACCAGAACCAGGCCTGATTAGCTTCATTAAAGTGGTTATTTCATGTGTTTATACAGACCACACCCTGGAATATGACTCCTGGTTTGTAAGCAATCTATGGCTTGCTTTATAAAAACCATACTTTACTGTGCTTTGATGGAATGGGAAACTATGGTCTGATGGTTGGACAATTTCTTAAGTTGAAAGGGAAGGAGAGGAAGAGAGAAGGGAAGTAGGGAGATCACTTCTGATCTCTTTCCACGAGCTTGGAGCAGACTTCTCCATGCTGGTTCCTTACAGATGATGTCAGTCAACAGCTCCTATAATACCCAGCCAGCATGACCAATGGTCACAGATGATGGAAGTTGTAGTCTGAGAACAACTGAAGGGCAGCAGCTTGGGGAAGACTGGCTAGGAGGATCATTTGAATACATTCACATGTGTACACCTTGGCATCCTTTGATTGCACATTGTTGTGTGGTTGTTGTTTGCCTTCCTCCAAGCTGCTCAGAGCTCCATCTTTCACACCCTCATCCCTTTTCTTTAGCTTTGCAATGACTTTAAGCAAACATAGGAGACCTACTGGAAAATTCACACACATACCCTTAATCAAATCTTGTAGCTGTACCAGGGAGTGAAAATAACACGTCTTGGCCAAAACTATGCCTGTATGCACATACACACCTCAAGAGCGAGTGAGCTAATTTCAAGGAGATGAGTTAAGTGCAAAGCGTAAACACAGATCTATTAATGGAGCAGTGAGACAACTTCTAATCATAGGTATTAAGATTCTCTTTCATCTCTTCCTCCCTTTCTTTTCAATCCTCTGCTTCCTATATACGTGGTCTTTTCTCTAAAGGGGGGACTGGAATTTGTTGCAGGTAATTTTTAGTTCAAGGAAAAGTGTGAAATGAGTGATGTAAGTGTCACCAGAAAGCTCTAAGGTGAGAAGAGGTAATAAAGGAAAGAGAAACAGTGGGGGTTATTTTTTAAGAGTTTAAGGTTTTTGAAGACACTGAATTTTGGGGAAAGGCTGTAGCTCAATGGCGGAACATCTGCTTTGCACACTGAAGGTTCCAACTCTTGGCATCTCCAGGTAGGGCTTGGAATGCCTCCTATCTGAAACCCTGGAGAGCCACAATACTGAGCTATATGGTCTGACTTATTGGATGGCAGCTCTCTATGTTCTTATTTAAAATCAGCTCTGAAGGCCAGAGTCTTAATTTATTATTAGGCAAATGGTCATAGCTCAGTGGTAGAACATCTGATTTGCATGCAGAAGGCCCTAGGTTCAATCCTTGACATCTCCAGGTAGGATTAGGAATGTCTTAAACTCTAGACCAGGAGTTCCCAATTAAGGGTCCAGGAAGTTCTCGGGGTTTGTGGAACGCACTAGGGGGTCTGCGGCCCCATCCCTTGCCACCTCCCCAACTATTTTTTTGTCATTTTTGCATTGTAATACCACAAATTTTATGGTCTGTTTTAGCGCTGTGCAATTTTTCAATATATTGGCCAAAATCGGTTTTGAAATCACATCACGATAACGATTTTGATCCAGCAATACACAGCAATATAGCGCTCCTCGCGCAAGGGAAAGCAAAGCAGCCGATTTCAAGGCGCTGCCAATATTGCACAATGATCTCTGTCGAAAACATTGCTGATCTGAGCTGCCTTCCCTCATGCTGAGGGAGACCAGGGCAGCCGATTGCAAGGCGCTGCCTTCCCCTCACACTGACAGAGAACAGGGTAGCTGATCTCCCATACTTCAAGGCACTGTGGCTCTACTTTCCCCTGGTGGAGCAGCTATTCTCAGTCAGCAGGAAAGCAGCAGTAGCAGCCACAGTGGACATGCAACTTTGCTGGCTGCCACAACTGGCTGCCGTAGCTTGATGGTCCCCCATCCCCGCCGCCTCCCCCTCAAACCATGTGCTGGAGTGACTCCGCTTTCTCTCCTCCCCCCACCCATTTGATGTCCGCAGCTGCTCCTTCCCTCACCGCCATGCCTGATCTCCAATTTCAGACACAAGGAACTAACTCAAGGAGCTCGAACTTGGTCCAGTAGCAAACTGGCAACCAGTGCAGCTCTCTCAGCTGGCAAGTAACATGTGCCCAGTAGCTTGCTCCTGCGAGCTGCCTGGCCATCACATTCTGCTATAACTGCAGCTTCTGGATCACATACAAGGGTTGCCTCATGCGAAATGCACTGTGTACCCAACAGCGTTTCAATAGGAACAATGAATTCCTCTTGCTAGGACAGGGATAGGGAGCTGGATCTGCCCAGTGGGTCAGATTCTTATCTCCCGAACCCCTTGCAGGCAAAGTTTGACATCATTTAAGGTCAGATTACATTTTTTTGGGGGGGGGGTTGCCTTCAGAGATATTGTGGAGCATGCTTCAAGGGGATCCACAAAACTCCACAATCAGCTGATGAATCTTATTAATTAGTGAGCCAGCGTGTTGTAGTGGTTAAGAGCAGTGGACTCGTAATCTGGTGAACCGGGTTCGATTCCCCGCTTCTCCACATGCAGCTGCTGGGTGACCTTGGGCTAGTCACACTTCTCTGAAGTCTCTCAGGCCCACTCACCTCACAGAGTGTTTGTTGTGGGGGTGGAAGGGAAAGGAGGTTGTTAACCGCTTTGAGACTCCTTCGGGTAGTGATAAATCAGGATATCAAATCCAAACTCCTCCTCCTCCTCTTCTTCTTAGTATTGCTTGGTTTAAGACACACAAGAATACATATGCAAGAGTTGGCTCATGGATGCTCACCTCACAACCCTTGATGCAGTGGATCAGTGCAGGATGAGGATACCACTTGAGTTCAGCGGTGCAGACAACGTTCTAGATGGAGGAAAGGAAGCATGGAGACATTAGGAACAGAAGGAACTGTCTTATATCAAGTCAGACTCACTGGTCTATCTAGCTCATTACAGCTATGGGCAAAACTTTAAAAAGCTCACAACTGTGCCCCAAACCATGTCCGGATTTTCACTTTTTAAATATGGCAACCCTGTTCCTGGAGATTGAACCTGCGGTGGTCTGCATACAAAGCAGGTGCTCTATCAACTGAGCTACAGCCAGAGATGGCACAGCACATTTCGTTAGAGGGTGTGTGCACCCTGGGATTTTTTTAAGTGCAAACATTTATTGAGTACATACTCATACTAATACAGGACATCATTTTTATTCATCAGAGTAAAAAGACTAAAACTTAACGAAACTTAAAAGTAAATAAATCAACAACTAAACTTTACTTTTTTAAAAAAATGCAAACTTTAAAAATGAGACACAAAAGCAAATTTTTGCTGTACTGATAAAAAGGTGTACACAAAAATATAGTCCATTTCATGATCTTTATCTTTAACCATATGATGAGTGAACCTAATATGGGAGAATATTAAATCCTTCCTAGGCTTGAGTGACTGAAGAGCTCTGTGAAAGTCAAAGGCTTGTGTATGCCATAGCTGCATTCATGGAATATTTGAAAATTATTATTATTATTATTATTATTATTATTATTATTATTATCTGTCAGGCTACACTGTTCAGCTGATGTATCAGAATGAATAAACTGGAATACATGTTAATTGACTAAAGAAGTCAATTAACTGGGCAACATTACGGTAGGGGAGGAACTCCCAATTTGAATAAAAGGGTCATCTGAGAAGAAGGTTCCCCTCCAGTGTGTGAGAAAATTGGGGCACCATGTTTAAGAGGATGCTTCCTGTGACACACATGTGCATCACCTAAAAAAGAAGGAATACTTTTCTAAAGTTAGCACTACTAACTTTCGGTGACATTCGGTGTGCCACCCGCCCACGACTCCCAAGCCTACCCCGAGCCATCAGGGTAAGGGGGGGGAGCTCTGTCGCTTTGCCGGCGGCATTCCCCGATTCCCCTTTCATTTTGACAGCTTGGGGGAAGCTTGGGAGTTGTAGGCTGGCATGCCGAATGTCTGTCATGGGTGGTTTGCTCCATCCCTGTGAGCAGCTCGTTCCGCCCCCAGCTGCAGGGCTTGCACGCCGCTCCAGGCACTCGAGCGGCTATCCCATGCCTGGAAGGGCACCCTCCACACCATGCCCCCCTCAGGAGCGCACCCGCCCTGGGCAGCGGTGGCATATGCTCCACCGCTGGTGTTGTCTCTAAGGCTAGTTCTTCTTAGAGTAGATCAACTGAAATTGATGGGCATAGCTAATATGATGTTCAAGACATAAGGCAGTAAAATCCTGTTAGTGTCTCTCCCCATTCTTATCTGTAAAAATATAATACGTAAGTAAGTAAGTAAGTAAGTAAGTAAGTAAGTAAGTAGTACCTCTACTTCTGTGCCCCTCTTGTTATGTATCCTTCAGGATACGCAAGCGGCAAACCCGGAAGTATTATTTCCAGTTTTTGCCATGAACACATGTGCAGAAGCGCTCTATCACGCCGTGTGTGTGCACAGAACAGGCACCTCCAGTTGCAGAAACCTCAGGATCCGACCAGAGCTCTGGAACGGATCCCGTCTTATTAGTACAGGGAGTAAAGGTAAAGGTACCCCTGCCCGTACGGGCCAATCGTGACCGACTCTGGGGTTGCGCGCCCATCTTGCTTAAGAGGCCGGGAGCCAGCGCTGTCTGAGGACACTTCCGGGTCACGTGGCCAGCGTGACGAAGCTGCTCTGGCGAGCCGGCACCAGCGCAGCACACGGAAACGCCGTTTACCTTCCCGCTAGAAAGCGGTACCTATTTATTTACTTGCACTTAAGGGTGCTTTCGAACTGCTAGGTGGGCAAGAGCTGGGATCGAATGACGGGAGCTCACTCCGTCGCAGGGATTCGAACCGCCGACCATGCGATCGGCAAGTCCTAGGCGCTGAGGTTTTACCCACAGCACCATCCGTGTATTAGTACAGGTACCACTGTACTAATAATGTGCTGTCGTTTCATGACACCCAAAATCAGCTGCCTGAGGTCACAACTTCCCTCTGCCTAATGATAGGGCTGCTCCTATACCTGAAGATCACTCACTAGAAAAACCTAACATGCCTCAGAGGGTATTGTAATGTTCACCACCACCCCTGGGGTGGGTGGGGAGGGAACTGAGCACTCATCTAGAGCTTCTGAGTCACTCTATTTTTTGTTCTTCTCCAGGGCCTGATGAGCTGCATCCAAGGGTACTAAAGGAGCTTGTGGGTGTAATTTCAGAGCCTTTGTCTATGATATTTGAAAATTCTTGGAGAACAGATTGAACCAGGGAGAACAGAATGAACTTTGCATCTGCATGCAAAGCAGATGATCTACCATGATCTACTGCTCAGCTATGGCATTTTCCTTAAGAGACAGTAACGTAGAAAGCTGACTTTCATGGAGTCAGACTATTGGTCAACCTAGCTCAGTACAGTCTACGCTGGCTAACAGAATTCCATACACTTGACATTCCCAGTCCTACCAGGAGATGCCAGGGAACGAACCTGTGGCGACTTCTGCAAAGTGGATGCTCCTCCACTGAGCAACAGGATACTGAGAGGCAGGATACCATTTTATCAAGCTATTTCATGGCAACACACTGGTGGCATTTATTTTGCATGTGTTCAGTCTCATCAGGTTTTTACGAAAAGTGTGGTGGTCTATGCACACACACATACATTACCCTTTCCCCCTGCTAATTCTGAAGGCTAATTTAATCTGTCTGTGGGGAAACCTTGGTGTGTTTTTACAGTTTCGGTCATTTGAGGCTTACCTGGTATGTGCTAGAAAAAGGACTTTTATACTATCTGCACAGGGCTGTTTATCTTTCCGATGCACTCGGATTTTCCACTATTACTCAGGGCCCAGATTGCTCCACCTGTCTTGCAACAGGCCTGGTCTGTGTGAAATGGAAGGGAAAGGAGTCTGGGGAAGGCCGGGCAGGGGGGCGGGGAGGAGGAGAGCCCCGTGCTGTTTATTTGCTGAGTGAGTGAGAAGACTGCAAAATTCAGCAGGGGCCCCACTTTCTTGGGTCAGATGCCTTCCCAATCGAGTCCTTGACAACCCTCTGGAAACTGAAGAGCTGGTGCTTGCCACAAACAGGAAGATAGTATTTCATTTCATTTCAATCTCTTATTTACTGCAAGATGAGGAATAGAGGAGCATGTTCTTATTTTTAATATTTGGAAAGATTGATGAAGTCATCAAGATGGGCCTCAGGATAATGAGAATCGGGAAAAGCAACAGATTCTATCCCCCTGAACCCTGAGGGCAAACGAGCTTAGAGGTGCCAATAATTCCTCTCACCTTATCTGGTGGGTGGTGTTGTGGCCAGAGCATGGGCCCTGCAGTGATCTGGTGAGGGGGGCGGGGTTTAACTGACTGCCTACTGGCGATTGACCTGAGCCCGCAGGTCTTGGATGGGCTTTCCCTGGGGGCAGGCCCAGCCAGCCAATCAGCACCACCTGGGCCTGCTCCCAGGAGGGGCGGTATAAACTGTGGCCGAGCTTGGCAGTCCCTTCTTCTGCCGGATCTCCCTCCCTCTAATTTTGTTGCAATTCATACTATGACCTTGCTATGGATCATGTTGGCTGCCATATTGGGGCCATGCAGGAATTTTTCCACTTGGCAAATTGGCACAGGCCATTTGGTTTGCCTACCTCGTAGCAATCATTACGACTTCGTGAGGTTAGGTACTGGGTAAGCCTTGGTTTTGGCTGGAGGGGAGGTTGTAGCCTCTGCTTGCCCTTCCTTGGTTAATGGTATCCTGTTAAAGGGATCCGTGGGGAGTGGCTTCTGTCTGACATCCAGGCAGGGGCTAGGGCTATGACACTCCTCCAACAGAGACCCCTTGGGGATACCCCTATCTTATGTAGGTCATAGAGCCCCCTAGTGGTGATTTACCCTTTGATGCTGTCCCAGGCTGGAGTAATATCATTTGGCTTCACCCGATGCCTATGCCAAACAGTTCACAACTGTAACTGATTGTGACCTATTGGAACCCATAAAACTATATGCTGTTGTCTCATTTGGTTATTCACCCCTTAGGGATCTGTGGAGTCTGGGAGACTTGACACACAAGGGAGAAGAAGATAGCAAGACTTTCTCTTCCATACAGTCAAAAACATCCCTAATAGAGTGGCATTTCCAGACATCCTCTTTGACAAAAGCAGAGAAGGAGGCTAGTGTGGCACAGGGGTAATTTCCACTCAGCCTGAAACGCACTGGGTGATCATGGACCAATTCATTATCAACCTAACCTACCTCGTGTACACCGCTTAGAGATTTTTGACGTATGAAACGATTCAGAAATGCTTTTAAAATAAACAAGATTACAGCCTTAAAGTTTTTCCAAGTGGAAAGAATGACTGTTGCTATTCTTCCTCTTAATAATATTTATTTGAAGACGGCAATACCAAGTCCTTGTGCTAACAGCAGCAGCAGCTGCAAGGCAAATGTGTGTCGGCTGCAGCAAATGCCAGTGTGTTACATTTGGCCCCAACCTGGTTTCAATTCCAGAGGGAAAGTTTTCAAGGTGGTAACAGGCATCGTAAAAGTCTAATGGCCCTGTCTTATATAACACTCACTCTCAGCTGGCTAACCAGTGGCTGTGGCACTGCAAATGACCCCCATACACTGCTTTCTGGTCACTGATGTTGTCTACAAGACACACCTATGTCATACAGGTGCCATGGGTGTCCTCCAACACCCAACACTTACAGCTGCCTTCAATTTTACACCTGCAATCTAGCCCATATTTCCTTGTGGCCATCCCTACCATTGTATTTGTTAAACCTGTGCTGTGAGTTTTGGGCATTCTGTCTCTCAGAGGTAGGCATATAAAGGGAGATAGCTGCACACTGTTTCGGTGACCTGCTACAGAAGATCTTCAATTGAATTCTAGTGGTTTGGGAAATGTATTCCTTTCATAAAGGCCTCAATTTATGCTTGTTGTGGGAGTGGGGGAGTACAAGCTTGTAGGTGATTGTAGCAACCCAGTGATCTTAATCCCTAGAAGAGAAATGGTATTTCAATCCATGTTACAGGCAAATGAGGTGAGGACAGTAAGGGTGAAGGACATTTTCCTCCTCCATCATCTAAACAAATCTGAATTAGGGCTGAACATAAACAACTTGCTTCACTCCACAATCATTTCCTTGAGTGTTGTAAAGCACTATTCATTTTTAGCTGTTTTCAACACTCATTTCCAACATAGGCATGTTATTCCAGTCATCTTCTTTGTTTACATTGCCATCTTCACCCTCACTGTCCTAATTTGCACTATTTCATTCCATTGCCTGTGGAAGCCCATTTGAATGCCTCAACATCACTATCCAGCATCTGGCGTGGCAGCATCATAGAAACACTTGTAGATAAAAGCTTAGTTTGCATGTAACACTGAACCATGGTTAAACATAGTTAAACCATAGTTAAGTTGAGGTGTCTGGTGGATGATCACTTAAACCTTGTTTTATTACATAATAGTTAAAAGCACCAGTGAGAGCAGATGAGACATGAGAGTGGTTTGAATTTTTTGTCACTCTTCACTTAAGTTAAAATTAAAGAGGTCTGGATTTGTACAAAATGCAAAGCTATAACTATGGTTTATAAATGAATTATAAACCTTGGTTAGTGGCCAACCTTCAAGTTTTTAACGCTTGATGTTTAGCTCTGTTTTCATTTTACAGTGGTACCTCTGGATACGAACAGGATCCGTTCCGGAGCCCCGTTTGCATCCTGAAGTAAACGTAAGATGCAACTGCGTGTCTGTGCGTGCACGGGTCGCATTTTGCCACTTCCGTGCATGCGCGTGACATCATTTTGAGCATCTGTGCATGTGTGAGCAGCAAAACCCGGAAGTAATGCGCTCCATTACTTCTGGGTCGCCGTGGAGCGCAACCCAAAAATATTCATCCCGAAACTACTTCAACCCGAAGTATGACTGTATGTTGGAAGCTGCCCAAGAGTGGCAGGAGCAATCCAGTCAGATGAGCGGGGTACAAGCAAGCAAGCAAGCAAGCAAGCAAACAAACAAACAAACAAACAAACCATAGTTAAAAACCCATAGTTAAGCTGCTGGGCTGGGTTAACACATAACGCTAAACCATGGTTTAGATTTTGTGTGAACTAGGTCATATTTTTGTGGATTGTCACAGCCAACTGGATTGAACAGCTATGTGGGCAATGAAGTTGAGGATAATGAGGGCAATGAATGGCAAATGAGGGCAAGAAGGAGGAGCAGCCAGAGGAAGAAAGGGATTCTGAAGAGCATTGAAACAGTGCAAATCTTCAGCCAAGGGAGCACCCTCTCAGTGATTTGTCCAGCTGCATTGAACATGTGACTTTTGAAATAAATGATCAAAATTAAGGAATAGTCATCACACCCCTAACCTGAATTGATTTTCTGCATGCCTCTTCCCATTGAGGGTGAGAGTGACTTGTATTTTTTCCTCCTTTTTTTGGTCTGTATTCCTGGAATACTTCAGCCTTTCTCTCTGTCACCTCCCCGCAATCTGGGCCGCTTTCCCCTTTTTACTACCAGTTATTTCCCCTCCTCTGGCTACCTAATGAGCCCTCCAGGGATATGTAGGTATAAAACTCGTTATGGCTTCTTTCAAGAAACGGCATCAATAAAGGAGGACAGAATGGGGAGGGAGGGGGGAGGGGAAAGCTACAACACTTTCAAGCCAGGATTTTTATTTCACAGTGAATTACAAAACCAAAAAAACCAACCCCCCTGAAACCCCACTTGAAAGTCTATATGGTGAGAAAGAGCCTCTAAAATGTAGATAAGGAAGTTTCTAATGTGTTGTGTGGTGCAAAGAGTGACAGGAGGCCCTGTAAGCGGGGGTAGGCTGTTATTATTGTAGGCCACCCACTCTCTGGTCCTAGTCTCTGCAAGAAATTGCCCCAATGGCCATGATAGATATGTAAATTCCAAATTTATCTTGAGGTCTGAGGTCGGTCATTCCTCCCTTCCTTTATTTTGTTTCCAAATCTGGATGCTCAAGGACTCTGTTCAGCCTGCTATTTTAAGAGGACCCACCTGATTTGGACTTCGCAGGCAAATGTACAAATCTGGAGCTAGTTCTCTTGTCAGTTTTTTACACACACACCCTTTTGCAATAGTTCTCAATTCAATAAATGTACCCGAGTGTGTACAAAACTGCATGCTTCAGATTAAAAAGCATATGAAAAATGCATACCCTGAGATAAAACGGTGTACAATTCAGCCCAGAAAAAGTGCAAAAATAATGGGAATTTTTATGTGTTTAAAAGATAAATAAATCATAGACTGATGGGGAAGCAGGGAGCAGATTTATGGATTAACAGAAGTGGACCAGAAATAGACTGTGAATGCTCTATCCCTATCTTCAGAACAGCCAATTCAATGACAAGGTTTTTGAGTTAGCAATCTTAGAAAATGTGCAATCTGAAAGAAACCTAGAGCCCTCTGACATGGAATGTTGGAAGATCCAGGACAGATAAAAGAAAATACTTCTTCGCAGAGTGCCTAGTTAGACTATGGAACTCGCTGCCACAGGAGGCAGTGATGGCAACAAGCCTAAATGACTTTTTTAAAAGATTAGATAAATGCATGGAGAGGGGTATCAATGACTACTAAACATGTTGGCCATGCTCTGCCTCTACAATGGGAGGAACAATGCTTCTGAATCTAGTTGCTGGAAATTGCAGGAGCCAAGAGTTCACTTGTGCTCAGGTCCTGCTTGTGGGCTTTCTTCCCATAGAGGCATCTGGTTTGTCACTGTGGGAAAAGGATGACAAAAGGGATGGACCATTGACTTGACCCAGCAGGCCTGAGAATTTGGACTTCTGGGAGAAGTGGAAGGTGATAGGAGATCTAAACTCATTGTTTGCTGAGCATTCGACCTGACCTGATTACTGAATGAACATTCATCCTGATTTGTTTGCAAGGAGACTATGTAGCATTGTAGGAAGATTAGATGATACCCAAGAGCCACCCAACCCTCCCAGTGCTTTTCCCTATCACTGACCTTTCGGATTGCAAAAAATCCTTTCTCCTCCGGAAATACAAATCAGCTATAATTGTGCAGCCTGAATTTGCTGGCATGTGACTGACCCCTACCTGAAAGCAAGTCACTGCTTGAATGTGGCTAATAATACTAATAATAATTTATATGCTGCCCATCTGACTGATTTGCCCCAACTGCTCTGGGCAACAACTTAAAACATCAAACAAGGTAAAACATCAAACATTAAAAAGTTCCCTTCAGATATCTTCTAAAAGCCAGATAGTTCCTTGACACTTCATGGGAGGGCATTCCACAGGGAGTGCATAACTACCAAGAAGGCCCTCTGTCTGGTTCGCTGTAACTTCACTTCTCACAGTGAGGGAACCACCAGAAGGCCCTCAAGAGCTGGAACTAAGTGTCCAGGCTGGATGATGGGGGGTGGAGATGCTCCTTCAGGCATACATAGCCAGAGCCATTAGGGCTTTCAAGGTAAGCACCAACATTTTGAATAGTGCTCGGAAACGTACTGCCTCTCCATCACATTTGTACACTTGCCCATAATACCATAAGGATAAGCATGTATGGCTAGCCCAGGATCATGCTTCCCTCACTGGGATCCCCTAGGTAACAAGTTTATAGAGCATTCATCCTGATTCGCATGCACAGTGCTTATGCAGTGGTCAAACTAGGTCCAGTCTTTAGTGACCATTTGTTCTGATGTGTGGATTGGCTATATGACAATGAGCATACATAATGACACACATATCCTCCCATTAGTCATTTGTCCAAGCCACACTTTCCTATGCTTTTCTCCATCACTTTCTGAACAAAAAAGGGAGTCCAGTTGTTGTTTTTTTAAGGTAGATTTGTTGCATGATGGCATGTTTTAATCCACCTTAAAAGTGCAAACCTAAAATTCTAGTATGCATTTTAATCCCTTCTATAAGATAACAGCAGTCTGGAAGAACCCAGTGACCAACTAGAGTCATGAAGGCAACATGACACTGTGTCTGGTATTCAGGGGTAGGCTACCCATGAACTAGCAGCACCACTTTGTGCCAAAGATTGAGGGGACCCAATGTCACCTGTGTGTATGGTTGGCAGAAGGCCCACACTGTCAGTAGGAGGCTGGGCATCACCCTGTAACCCAGCACCCTGCACAGAGGGGATAGGCCAGGCAATGTACTGTGCCTCACCCCCCATTCTACAGAATCCTGCCCATGCTGTTGGGAGGCAGCCGTGTGCCAGAACACCCCATGGTTGGGAGCAGGCTGGGTGCCATGCCACACAACATGTGCCCTGCACATGAGGATGGGGTGGGCCCCATACCCTAAGATATTGAACAGCTAAGCCCCATGAGTCAGTACCCCTGCTCTGAACATCAAGCTTCTGTTTATTATCCTGGCCATTGCTGATTGATGGTCTTCTCCCTGACCATGAATTTGCCCAGTTCCGCTTTCAAGACAATCTGCTGGGTTTGTTGCAACCAAATCTACCTAGGAAGCCCATGAGGGGGTCAATGTTCCACGACAACCTATCCATCAAATCACACTTGGGACCATCCACTGACCTTCACTCTTGGAGGGTTCATCCAGTGCTGGATGTCTTGTAATGTCTCATTGGCACGCAACAGGATGGGCTCACTAGGATGGTCTGGGCACAAGATGGTACACTCAGCTCCTTCAAAAAGGAAAAAAGGAAGATTGGGGAGGGGAGGCCCCATTATATATTTATTTTTTAAATAAATAGGATTACACTTGATTGTAAAAGAAACCTCTAAGCAGTATTCAACCCCCAAGCAGTTTATTAATCACCCATTCATTGCACACAACATTTTTATGCCACTCACTCCAAAAATATTTCTATGTGATTTACATAAAATTGCATAAAATGCTCATTTAAAATAGCAATAAAAGCCGACTTTAAGAATATAATAAAATTATCAAAATATAGATACAAATCAACAGAATTTAAAAACAAGTGTGCATAATAAAATGTATGGGGAGGCTCACCTAAATAACAGCCAAAAGGCTTTCGGCAAGTGAAGAAAGCATTTTAACAAAGGCTTGGCCTAAATATCAATAGGCAGGGAATTTCAGAGAATAGATGCTGCCAGATCTTCCAGCTCAGACAAGACAGAGGAGATGGTTCATACACACGGGGCCATTAGCACCAAGCACACTTGGGGAACCACTGGGCTCCACACAGCCATCCCCAGTGACACTTTCTGCTACCTCCCATGCTGGAAGACTGGATTTGTGATTTAACCACAAAAAGTCCTCAGATGTTACTATGTACGTGCAAATCACCAAGGTTAATTTAAATGGCTGGTGGTCACAGCAACCTACTGGGTCCCAAAGTACAACTGCTGCCTGCTGATGCTACCAGCAGCCTGTAAACCATAGATGATGATGAAGAAGAAGAGTTTGGATTTGATATCCCGCCTTTCACTCCCCTTAAGGAGACTCAAAGCGGCTAACATTCTCCTTTCCCTTCCTCCCCCACAACAAACACTCTGTGAGGTGAGTGCGGCTGAGAGACTTCAGAGAAGTGTGACTGGCCCAAAGTCACCCAGCAGCTGCATGTGGAGGAGCGGAGATGCGAACCCGGTTCACCAGATTACAAGACTACCGCTCTTAACCACTACACCACACTGGCCACTGAAAGTGAGCTTCCAACATATGAGGGCCCCACTGTAGCAGGGTAAGGAGTTGCCAAGTCCCCTTGCACCTGAAGCTGGACTAGTCACCACAAAGAAACAAAAGGAGTGGGGTGGAGTTCTCCAATGTGGGACTATCTTTGTAGATGAGGAGTGGGGACTCTTTTTCACCTGGGGGCACACTCCCTCAAGGGCAAGCTTCAAGACGGGCCACATGCCAAGCAGTACCAAAAGCAGACATGGCTAGATATGTACCATATCCATATTTCATCCAGGCATGAAAGACAGTATCAGTCACAATTCACAGACACATTACAGCCAGCCTTGTGAAAATCACTAGAGGGTCAATGAGGGGAGCCACTGGGGCTGAGGTTCCCCACCGTTGTTATAAAATCTGGCAGCAGAGCTGACAGTATCAGAGGGGGCTTATCTTAACAGGGGAAAGAGCACAACCATTTGCCAGGAAAATGAGAAGGGGAGAGTCTTCCCAGCAAGAAGCCAAATCACCCTTGTCATGGGCCCAGACTAACAAAATGAAATTTAATAGGAACCGATGTGAAATTCTGCAGATGCACAAATATAAGATGGGGGACACCTGGTTTGCCAGTAGTACATGTGAAAAGGATCTAGGGGTCTTGGTGGATCACAGGCTTAACATGAGCCAAAAGTGTAATGCAGCAGCAAAAACAGCTAATGTTATTCTAAGCTGCATTAACAGTATAGTGTCCAGATCAAGGGAAGTCATAATATCATTCTATTCTGCCTTGGTCAGACCACACCTGGAGTAATGTGTCCAGTTCCAGGCGCCACAATTAAAGAAGGATATTGACAAGCTGGAAAGTGTTCAGAGGGGTGACCAAGATGATCAAGGGTCTGGAAACCAAGCCTTATGAGGAGCAGTTGACAGTGCTGGGTATGTTTGGCCTGGAAAAGAGGAGACTGAGAAGAGATAGAATACCATCTTCAAATATCTCAAGGGCTGTCACATGGAAGAGGGAGCAAGGTTGTTTTTTCCTGCTTTGGAGGGTAGGAGTTGAACCAATGGCTTCAAGTTACAAGAAATGAGATTCCAACTACACATCAGGAATAACTTTCTGACAGTAAGAGCTGTTCGACAGAAGAATGGTCTCCCTTGGGAATTTGTGGGCTCTCCTTCCTTAGAGAGTTTGGATGTCCATCTGTCATGGATTCTTTAGTTGAGATTTGTGCATTGCAGGGGGTTGGACTAGATGACGCAAGGGATTGGTTCCAATGCTATGATTCTGAATGTTTTGAATGGAAGGATGGGGGCCAGTTGAGCCAGTAGCACCTACCACCTACATGAATTCCAAATTTGGGCTGTGATGATAAGCTCAGGTCCACTAACCAGGAAGCATCATAATCCATGGACTGCAGCTCAGAGAAAGAGCAGCATCACTGATCCCCAAAGGCATTGTGTCTAAAATCTGCTCACCACTGCAATAGGCATGCCCAGCAGATGAGAGACCAAATGCTAGACTGCATGTCAGAGGCCTCTTCCTTTAAGGATCTCCATTCTCCAGCAAGGGCAATCAGGCTGAATGACTATACAACAGCTCAACCTGCAACCAGCCCATGTTGGAGAAGGTTGCCTCTTCCTTGGTACCTGTCCAGGGTTCTGAAGGGCTTGGCATTGGCCACGCTCTTTCCAGAGTGGATGCAAATGCCTTGCCCCTCAGTCCCCTGCACTGGCTGGCTGCTATGGACCCCTGCCTGCCTCCTCTTCTGAGAGCCAGTGTGGTGTAGTGGTTAAGAGCAGTGGACTCGTAATCTGGTGAACCGGGTTGGCTTCCCCGCTCCTCCACATGCAGCTGCTGGGTGACCTTGGGCCAGTCACACTTCTCTGAAGTCTCTCAGCCCCACTCACCTCACAGAGTGTTTGTTGTGGGGAAGGAAGGGAAAGGAGAATGTTAGCTGCTTTGAGACTCCTGAGGGTAGTGATAAAGTGGGATATCAAATCCAAACAACCCTTCTTCTTCTTCTTCTTCTTCTTCTTCTTCTTCTTCTTCTTCTTCTTCTTCTGCACTCCAGCTTGGCTTCTTCTCCTCATCAGGACTTGATGCAGATCACTTGTACCCAATTTCATAAATTGAAAGCCAGAAGCAAGGCTACTGCACAAACAGGCAAGTTTCCCATATACAGTATGATGCTGGATAGTTCACTTTCTATGAGTACAGTGGTACCTCTAGTTGCGTTCCGCTCTTGTTACGGACTTTCAGCTTATGAACGCAGAAAACCCGGAAGTGTTTACTTCTGGGTTCTCCACGTGCACATGCGCAGAAGCAATCTGCGCTCTTCACACATGCACAAAAGCGCTCAACTGTGTTGCACACATGTGCGGAAGAGGCATTCTTGTTGCAGACTTTTTGGGTTGCGAACGGCACCCAGAAATGGATTAAGTCCTCAACTAGAGGTACCATTGTATGTAAGTGCCCTGCAAACTTTACGAAAGACCTGGTTGTATACAACACCAGTTTAGAAAGTTCACACTGTAAGTATGTGGACATTGCAGGACACATGCAGATGAACAACCCAGTTCTCAGTAAGGAAACCAATGCAGTGTAATACTGTTGAACTAGGACCCAGGAGACTGGGATTCAAACATGCACTATGAAGCCCTGGGTTGACCTTGGGCAGGTTGCTGTTGCCTCTCAATCTATTCTAATTTACAGAGGAAAAATTTGAAGGAGGAAGAAAGCATGTACGTTAGCTCGCCTTCCTTAGAGGAAAAGTGGGATATAAATATAATAATTATGATGATCAATAATTGAGAATATAAAATAGAGATGGGGAGAACCATGTAGTTCCCAAAAGGTTGTTGAATTGCCATGCTGTTTTTATTCTCTCCGTTTGTTTGTTTGTTTGTTTGTTTGTGTGTGTGTGTGTAGTGTTAATTCTATCCATGTTTAATTGCTTTTAATTATCCCCCCCCCACCTATGTTTTTAGCTGTTCTTATTTTTATCTGCATCCACCTTGAGTTCCGAGTCAGGGAGAAAGTTGAGATATAAATAAATGTCTGATAACCACTATCACCACCATCTTGATTTCTTTAGAGGAAGAGTAGGGTGCAAATGTAACAAGGCAATAAGAATTTTATATCTATCAATGCCGCCCCCCTACACACACACACACACACACACACAGAGAGAGAGAGAGAGAGAGAGAGAGATCACATAGATTTTCACACAGAGAAATCAAGCAAGCCAGGGAGTAAGCTAGGCTTGAGCCCATCTCTCTGGCAAGCTAGTTTTCTATGTGCATGGAAATTATTCTTACTATTGCTGTTATTACCACCCTGAGCATCTTCGGGAGGAAGAGGTGGGACCTAAACAGATTAATCAAACAGATAGGATTTCTTTCTATGAGGGAGCTTTCAGCCTGAAATGCATTTGAAACCTGTTTACATAGGGCACACGTGGTGTGGCGCAGTTGCTAGCAGGCAAGCCCCTTATTCATTTCGCCTAATGGTTGTGCACCACAGGAGCCCTGCCCTCTCCCTATTAAGGTAAGCAGTAATATATTGGAGCTTTTCGAAGACACAAACCTGCACCCCTGGGGGTGCTGCCGCCACTGCTGCATTGGCTTTCCCCCTCTGCGAAATCACTCTCACAGTGGCACAGCTGCTGTGAGTGTGTCATTAAGGAGCTCTGAACTCCAATCAGTATCAGAAACAAGACCAAGGAGGGGAGGCAGCTTCTCACTTCTGGCTCACAACAAACCCTTCCCTGATTGGTGTCTGCGGTAACACCAATGTCTGCATCTACCCATTTTGGTCTCTCCCAGTTTCTCGCCCCCCGATCTTAAATTCGTTTCTTCACATTGCCACATAAGTTTTTCTTTAAAGTCCTCATTAAATTTTACCAGTATTTTAGAGCAAATTTCTCTTAATGAACACAGCTTTTATGCCATTTCCCCTCACATATACACATATTTCCAAAAGAATTGCCCCAAATATATTACAATATTTTCACTGATATGTGCATTTTTACTCTAGTATTATTGTGACTATTGCTATTTTTACACATTACTTGGATGGAGAAATTGCATTGCAAAATATGGAAAAGAATGAATTTCAAACAATAGCTTTGTTTCAGTTTGCACATTGTTTCAGAAACTGCGAATTAGATAGGTTTGCCTTTAAATGCCTTTGGATAGGTTTGCCTTCCATTATTTTTGAGTGGCTGAGTCAAACGGGTAGATAGATTTTGCTGTTGTTTGAAGATGGGTTATCTTTCTGAGTTTCACCTGTGTATATATGTGCCAACCTAACGGATCCCATGGATGCAGTTTCACTGATAGCAGCATTTTATTAAGCTTTCTGGGAAAATTGCATAGACAGCTGTTACTGGTTCATTCCCAGTGGATGGAAGACACAACATAGGACTGGAGGGTATGTCTGTATGTGTGGGTGGCTATCTGTCACTCACTAGACAAAATTCTGTTCTTGCTGACAACAGATGCCTCTTTCAATGCAACGCCTGACCTATAAACCACCGAAATAGCCTGCTTATTCCCCAATGATTCTGCACAGCTGTTAAGATATTCATCAGAGGCCTTGCTTGGGATAGATTTTGCCTTCTGGGTTGTGGGGGTGGGCCCAGCCAATGACAATGAATGTAAGAAGAGCCTGCTGGATCAGGCCAATGACCCATCTATGTGGAAGGACCATAGCTCAGAAGAAGCATAACTGCTTTGCATGCAGGAGGTTCCGGGTTCAATCCCCAGCAATTTTCCAAGTTAACATATGAACAAAAGAAGTGTTTGCTGCACCACACAAACTGCCCATCTAATCCAGCATTCTGTTCTCTCAGTGACCAGACAAATACCTGAATGGGAAACCCACAGGCGGAATCTGAGCACGAGCACTCTCCCCTCCTGTGGTTTCCAGAAACTGGCATGCACAAGCATTACTGCCTCAGGCTGAGAAGGCACAGCATAGCCATCATGGCTACTAGCCACTGATAGTTCAATATTGTTTATGCTGGCTGGCTGTGGCCCACCAGAATTTCATGCTGGTGACATTATAGGCTGACCTGGGATCACACCTGGGGCTTTCTGCATGCAAAGCAGAGGCTGTACCCCTGAGATGGGTTTACTGCAGCTCACCACTGCCCGAAGGTGGTAGAAGTTGCTACGCACCCTAAGGACTTGAGCATGGAAAACCCAGGCTCAGACTGACCCTGGTCCATAATACATACTGGCAGAGCCAGCACTAATTGCTGCAGCCTTACCTCCAAAGTTTGCCATAAGGCTAAAACAAGGAGGATAACTGTAATTGTAGTCCTATGGTTCTATGATCATGGGGAAAGTGACATAAATGAATAACAAAACAATACCTTGTGGAACAAGGCAATTGCCATTTAATTTCCATTTCAACTTCCATCCCTACACCTTGCCCCATCTACCAAAAAAAGAAAGTTAGGACCCAGCATTATGAAAAATGAGGGAGGAAGATGTCCCTTGAATGCTACAGCAACCTTTGGTAGGCATCTAAAGGTCACCTCTTCTCCAGAGATAATACACGTTGTCAGGGAAAAGGATGCCTGCTTGCCGTCTCACTGCTTCACCAGCAGTGCAATTTACACTTCAGGAGAGGAGCAGGCCTGAATTGTTTTGATATGTGATCCATAATTGGCATCATTACAGAGCAGTGAGCTCATCTAGGTCGCATTCCTCTCCCCCTTGGGAAGGCCTTGAAGCAACTCACAATAGTTAGGCTATAATGAGGGATCAGCACAGTGTATGTGTAAGAGAGAGGGGAGGGGAGATATTTCTTTGGAGTTCAAAATGATAGCCAAGGAGAGAATGGCGCAGGGGGAAATCACACAAACACACATAGACCTGGAGCTTTACCTGCAATGCATCTTTGCTGTATTGGTACGACTACACAACCTGGATCAGTGATAGGGATGGGAGGTTCTGACAGTTTCAGTTTCTTCCTTTTCCAATCTCAAAATTCAGTTCTCCACATTGCCACATCAGTTTGCCAGGTTTTGTTTTGTTTTTGTTTTTTTAAGTTATCATGGAAAATCATCAGCATTTTAGTGTGGATTTCTCCAAATGTAACCTTTTGTCTGCAATTTTGCTTTGACATACACATACTTGCAGAGCAATTTCCCTCTATACAATGTATTTGTGTATGTTGTTTTCAACATTAGCTATATTTGAAAGTATGTAGTGTGCATTTTACCTTAGTATATGACTTTGGAGACGTGCATATTTCGAAAGCAGATTGTTCCTCAGTTAGTGGATTATTTCAGAAAGCGTGAATTAAGCGGATTTGTCTTCAAATGCAAACTGAATCAAATCTCTCCCCCATCCCTTGTCAATGATGCTCACACTTTGTGGAAGGGCCACTCACAGAAGGTCCATAGCCTATTCTTTGCATAGAGAAGGCCAGAGATCTGGCCCCTGGCATCTCCAGGTAGGGATGCAAAAGTCTCCTGTTTCCAACCCTGGTGTTGTGTCGATGATATGGACAAATGAAAAGGTGTTGACCAGCAGAGGGTCCATTCCCACAGGGCACAGCTGTCTTCTTCAAGGGTTATTAGCCACCATGAATACCACTTGCTGGGAAATGCAGGTGGGCAGAGTGCTGTTGTGCTCATTGTGTTCAGCTTGCAGGAATGCCACAGTTACACGGATGCTAGACGAGATGGGCCATTGGACTGACCCAGCAGGCTCGTCTTACATTCTGCTTCTACAACCACAGGCAAATGTTTTCAGGATGTCATTGGGACAATGGAGGTTGTGTTATACCAAGCCAGGCCATTAACCTACCTAGTTATCTGTTTATTTAAACAATTTATACATCGCTTAACTGCAATAGTTTTCAAGCAGTGTGCAAGAAATACAAAAAAGGGTGAAAATCAGTTCAAACTATAAAATCAGACAGAAGTCAAAATGCCTGCTGAATTTTTAAAAGTCTTCTGTAGACAGATGTTCAATAGGGAGGGGGCCCTATTGGAAGGAATTTGCACAAAATTGGGGCTACAATACCGAAAATACAGCTCCTGGTGGATAGGAGCTGTGCATCTGAACCATGGGGCCCACTACAAATTACTCCCCTGAAGACCTCAGTGATCAAGGAGGGATAGAAGGGATCAAGTGGTCCTTTAGCTACCCTGGACAGAAGTTGTTAAGGGCCTTGCCAAATGATACCAGAACATTGAACCTGGCCCAGTAGCACATGGGCAGGCAGTGGAAGATTTTGAGTTATGCACTGGTAATAGGCTGTCCACAACAATTTAGCTGCAGCATTCTGCATCGGCTGGAGGTTCTGGACTGGGCCCAAGAGAAGCCCCACACTGAATACATTGTAGTAATTGGGACTTGAGGTTGCCTAGCTCAATATTGCCCTACACCAGGAACAGAAAACCTGCATCCCTGGGAAATGCAGTCCAACAACATTTGGAGGGTCACTGCTTCACCATCCCTGGTCAACAATGACCAGCAGTTGCTCTCCAGGTTTTGTATTCACAATAGACCCATTGAAATCAATGGATGTAAGTTAGTAATGCCCATTAATTTCAACAGGTCTGCTCAGAGTATGATGAATGTTGGATGTAATCCATAATGTCCTGCTTGTGCACTTTGTGGAGTCATTGAGGCAAAAAGGATGCCACACTAGCATTCAGGAAAACTGGAACCTTGGTCTGATCTAGCTGGCCTCTTCTTTGTAGAATCATAAAAAAATCTGAAGGGACACTGGGGGTTATCTAGTCCAGGCCACTGCTCAATGCAGGATGTTGCAGCATCCTTGATACATTCCCACCCTTGATAGATGGACCAAATGCCTCCAGAAGAAGAGCTCACCATCTCCAGTGGCAGGCTATTCCTCTGTTGAACAGCTCTTACCCACAGAAAGCCTCTCCATTTTTTCAACCAAAATCTGCTTTCCACTCATTCCGTGCTAGGCTATACTCTAAGGCAACAGGTGTATGGTAGCCCTTCAGATATCTGGAGACTGCTGTTGCAGGGATGGGGAACCTGTGGCTCCTCCAGCCTCAACCAGCATGGTCCATAGTGAGGGATGACAAGAGCTGTAGTCCAGCAACATCAGGAGTACCACAGGGTTCCTCATCCCTGCACTGCCATGCTTCCCATTAGTTGTTTCTTCTCTTCTCCAGATTAAAAAGACTACAAAGTCACTGCAGCATCCACACAGAAGTGCCTGTGCACATAGTTACATAAAGGCTGCTACCCACAGTTTAACTGTGAGAAGCCATCACCAAGGACCACAGAGAACCCCCCTGTTATGTGAGTGCAGGGGAGCATCATATGTTACCAAGAGGTCTGGCACCTTAAAGTCTGTCTTGCCCTTTCAAGAGGGATTAATTAGCTGTGTTGTTTTGAGACTCAGGCCAATGGGGGGAAGGTTGGAGACGGAAGAGGAAGCTTTTGAAGAACCCTTGCTTTTTTCCTGCCTTTTTCACTGACATCAAACATTTGGCTTCTAAGCTGGCAGAAACCTTATAAATACCTATGCTGTATCCGTCTGGACACTGCAGTTTCAGGCCTCCGCTCAGCTGGCTGGGAAGGGAGCAGTGTCCTTGCATCCCTCTGCAGAGGTGAAATGAGCCGCTCCAGGTGCCGTCTTTCCGGCAGTGAATCACGTTGTTCCCACGGCCCTGATAAGAGAAAGCAGGAAGAACAGCTTAGGAAAAGGGTGAAGGTGTTCCAGACATCATTGGAAGCTGGTCCATTGGAGAAATGGGGCGCTGCCCCTACACCTGCAACCTCAGCCTGTCCTCAGCCAGCCCCCACCTGCCTGCCTTCTTACACCTATCCAATCAGGTAGTGGCTCCACCTGTCATTGGCTGTGATTCCACATCTGGTTTGGACACCCTGCCAGTCCCAATGGGCACCAGCCACCAACGGTTGCATTATTATCCATCACTTTTTCTGCATGTGTACAAAAAAAATAATAATAATCATAAAAGTGTGCATGAAAACGATTATTTTCATGAAAAAGGTATCTGAAAATTCAATATATTAGAGGAAATGGCTTGTAACAAAATGTGCACATCAGCCCAAGCTGTATGTGTTTGCTATAAGCAAAACCTGCAAAAAAATGAAAATGAAAATGCAGATGAGTTTTAATGACAATCTGCCCTGCCCCCAAGAAAAAAAAAATATTTCAGAAAGTGGAGAACTGAACTGAAGATTGGGATCTGTCAACTGAAATTGGCAAATTTGTCCCAGCCTTCCTAAAGAAATTTCAGCTGCGTTGAAGTCACCAAGGAATTCTCTCCCATTCAAACATAGAAACCACACACACACTCACACACATCCCTAGCTCCAGTATCAGCCTATTACGGAGCCAATTTATTAGGAGGAGAAAACTATATAAAACACTAAAACAATAATTTATCCTCGCCAGAAGGGTCACATTAATTGAAGCCATTATCATTTTCAAGGGTCAGTACTCTCACAAGGTCCACCAAAGTCTGCAGAGCAGTAACACACACCTATTTCTGCTAGAAATGAGGACTATTAAGGCCCCTAATGGTTTAATCCTCATTGCAAGCCAAGGAAAAACTGGACTCCAGCGAGACTGAAATGCTGGTTTCAGTGCCAAGGTACATATCGTATAATGTTAACTACTGCATGATATAAATGCTTTTGCGGGGGGTGGGGGTGGAATTGCCTCACAGCCAAGCTGATGTTTCTCCTGCATTAAAAACATGCTTTAAAAAGAAAAAATGTACACATATCCATGGACTACTCCCCACCCCGCTACATCATGTCTGAATTAAGAGCTGAACCTCACTTAAGTTTTATATGTCAGTATGGAATAACTTCTGTTTATGTGATGAGAGCTCAGAATTTCAGCCAACCCACCTTACACCAGAGATTGGCACTCCCCCCACCATGTTGCCCTAACCCCCCCACACCCTCCCAAATATAGCAAGGAATAGGATGTGTAATTGCTATAACGTGAGAGCTGGTGTGGCACAGTGGTTACGCAGCCTTTCTCAACCTGTGGGTCCCCAGATGTTGTTGAACTACAACTCCCATCACCCCTAGCTAGCAAGGCCAGAGCTCAGGGATGATGGAAGTTGTAGCCCAACAACATCTGGGGACCCACAGGTTGAGAATCACAGGGTTAAAGGGTCAGAGACCAGAGTTCAAACCCCTCTCACATGGAAAAAAGTCCACAGGGTTAGCTTAGGCAGTCGCTCTCTCTCACTCTACCCTACTTCACAGGGTTGTAGTGAGGGTCAAATGGGTTGGGGGTGGGTGGGAGAAGAATGTACACAACCTTGAGTTCCTTGAAAGAAAGGTGGGGTACAAATATGATAATGAATGAAACACCACGAATGTTGCGTGAGGATTCCATCCCACAAACACGCTACTTTGGGAAGTAAGGGACCCATAGTTTGACACTTGTGCAAATAATGTATTTTGATCTCCCATCTTTATAGATTTCCCAGTTGTTGGAAACCACAGGAGGGGAGACAGCTCTTGTGAGAACAGGATACCAGACTATGTGGGCCACTGGCCTGATCCAGCAGGACTCTTCTTATGTTCCCAGTGGGGCGATTTCCCATTCCCCCAAAGGCTTGAAGCAGTTTTCAACACAACCCTGAACTGTGAAACACAAACCCCATTACATCAGTGCATGATTTCTGCACCAAACGTAAGAGGCTGGTGGAACCAGGCTCTCAGGTGGCTGCAAGGCTGCCAAACAGCTCACGGGCACATTGACTGCCAACTTAGCCAAAACACACCAAGGGTGAGAGGTGGGGAGAAACCGGGCCTTCTAGATCTAAACACAGAAGAGTCAAAGTCTGAAGGGATGCTGATTGGTATGTGATGGTTTTACACAGACCAGATGCCAGACTTCTGTGTGGAAGGTTTGGGAAGAGAATATGCCAGTTGTTTGCATCTCTCACACAACACAGCATGGCACACGCATAACTGTTCTACTATGCACAGTTCTGGCCAGTCATTCTCAAAAAGGATGCTGTAGACCTGGAAAAGGCACAAGGATGTACCCTACTAAGTTCTACTCAGATCAAACCCATTGAAATTGATGGACCTAAGTTAGTTGTGCCCATGCAAACCCACATTCACACTATAAATTTAAAGCACTATGATACCATTTTGAACAGTCATGGCTTCCACCAAAGAATTATGGGAGCTGCAATGTGCTAAGGGTGCTGAGAATTGTTAAGAGAGCTGCAATTTCCTGGGTTGTCTGTGAAGAAGAACTGATTGCTAAACTACTCTGGGAACTACTTATCTGTGGGGAAAATAGGTGTCTCTTAACAACTCTTAGAATCCTTGGCAAAATACAGCTCCCAGAATTCTTTGGGAGAAGTCATGACTGTTCAGAGTGGTATCAGTGCTTTAAATGTATGGTGTGAATGTGGACTGAGTCCATTTAGCTCAGTATTGTCTACACTGACAGGCAGCAGTTCTCCAGGCTTTCAGAAAGGGAGTCTTTTCCAGACCTACCTGGAGATGCCAGGGATTGAACGTGGGACCTTCTGCATGGAAAGTAGATGCTCTGGCACTGAGATACAGGCCTTCTACTTTAATTAGGATTAACATTGGCTACAACCCATGGGAGCAGGAGAAGGGGGCAACAGAAACAATGGGTTTGTAGAAGGTTTGGGGAGGTCTCTCTACATCTATGTGATGATGATGATGATGATGACCAAGTAGAGCTTCCTTGTTTGGGGGCAGTGCACCACTGCAAATGTTAAGTAGGGCTCCTACTTGTGGGATTCTAAGAAGTGTCTGATTGGTCACTGTGTGAAATGGGATGATGGACTTGAGGCATTGGGTTCCAGTCTCATTGGACTGTTTGTTGTATTTTTTTCATTCACTGCTTTAATTTATTGACAGTTTGTTTCATTTTTACTTTAAATGCTAATGAAGTTCATATTTATTATTTATTTATTGCACTTATGGCCCACCTTATTCTCCAAGCAGCTCAAGATGGCATACATGGTTCTCCCCCTCCTCATTTAACGCCCCCCCAACAGTATGTGGCCCTCCATGCCCTTCTGTCTGGCCCTTGGAACTTTCCCCTGGCCCCCTCTAATCTCCCTGGGCCATACCCCTCCCTGGTCTTGCTTCACGTCATCCTTGAGTGTTTTCGCCTGGCTGGAATATATCCCTGATTTGGGATAATGCTATTCACTTGTTCACAATGAAGGGCAGAGAGAGATGTGCCTGGAAACTGGTGTTCTGTATCAGGTTGCCATATTTCAAACAGTGGAAATCCAACTTTTTTTTTTTTGCCCAAAGTTGTTGAATAGCAAATCACAGCCCTTGCCGTGGAAACAGTTCTACACCCCTGGACTGCATAGATCTTTGGTTGAATCAAGCAGGGCTTTCCTCATAAGATCAGGAGATAAGGGTGCCAACTTGAATAAAATATTGGGGGAGCAGCTATGCCCTGCCCCACATAATCGAACACGCAATGCACATCAACTTTGGGGGGCCAGCCCCCTCAAATATTTTATTGCAGGGGGCCAGAGCCCCCATGGCCCCTAAGAGTTGGCTCCTAGGTTGGGAGATAAGTTTAATCATAGCAAACTCGTTCTTCAGGTACTTGTGCTTTTGTATCTGAAATGGCACCTTTCATGCAACGAAAGGAGTCTTTGGGTGGGGGAAGCCCAAGATATGAAGTTGCAGAAAAAGGCTTTATGGGAAAAAAACCTAAGAGGTATCATGTGTGTGTTTGTGCGTAATACCAGAAAAAGTAGAACAAGGATTAGGTATGCTCAATGGGCATGGGGCGGGGGCGGGGAGGGGATCCTGGAAAATCAGGGGGTAGGTGTGCAGTGGAGCATTCTGAAAAAGAGCAGGGCACTGCTGGCTGGCAACTTGTAGAAGGCTTTTTCAGTGCTGACACAGCACTTATGGGAAACTCTCTCCATAGAGGTTCACTTGGAGCCTTCATTATGGTCTTTTCAGTATCTGGTGAGTTACTAATAGGCCACCTATTACAGGCTACAAGATGAAACATAATCAGACACTGGAAAGATCTTTCTGGTGCAACAGTAGATGATTGGTAGAAGACTAGAAAACAGCCCTTCTTGAGTCACAAACAAATATGTTACAGTTATCACGTGGGCAGATCACCTAGGCAGTGTGGTTTCACTTCATTACATACGCTAGTTTCCAGAAAATGAACAATATCCCCCACCAGCCCTTAGCTCGATTTGGTTGATCTGAACCAATGTATCAACCTCTACCCCATGTATTAGCATTCTATTTTATCTCACCTGCAACATGAAAGAAAAGTAAATATTATTTAAACCAGTGTTTCCCAACCGGTGTTCCGCGGCACACTAGTGTGCCGTGAGGCGTTGCCTGGTGTGCCGTGGGAGGGAGGCGGGCGAGTCGGGCGGCGAGAGGCGGGGCGGCGGCGAGGATCCGCGTCGAGCCGGGGGCGGCTCCGCGGTGGTGGTGCCGAGGTTTCTCTCTCCATTCTCCCCTCACACACACACACAGGAAATAACACAGGATCAGCTGACAGGACCCGGCCAATGGGGCGGCGGCGGGGCAGCGCGCGCAAAAGGGAGGAGCGCGAGACAGCGGACGAGGAGGAGGCCGGCATGTCTGGGCAGCAGCAGCAACAACAGCAGCAGCAACTCCCGGCGACGGCTCCTCAAGCCCCGGGCAACCCTACTCCCTCACCGGCCTCGGCCGCCCTCCTGCTCCACCCGCCACCGCCTCCCCCGCCGCCGCCGGCCACCTCGGCCCCGCCGTCGCCCCCTCCTCCGCCCACTATCGCCGCCACCACCACAACAGCCGCCGCCGCCTCAGCTGGGCCCATGCCTGCCGGGAGCGGCGGCGGCAGCAGCAGCAGCAGCGCCCCGGCGCCCTTCCCTCCCGGCGTGACGCTGCGCGCTGACGTCACGGGGCTGTAATGGTGGTGTGCCTCAAGATTTTTTTCATCAAACAAGTGTGCCTTTGCCCAAAAAAGGTTGGGAAACACTGATTTAAACCAGCTTTTTCACAACTGTTAAGAGCCTCTGACACTTACCTACAATAATTGAGAACTAAACCAAAATATTGAGAGTATTTGGCTGTCTGATATTGCTTATTAACAGCTAATTTCATCTTTCTTTCCTTTGTTTGATCTTCTTTATGAACTAAGAGTATATATGCTGACTAATGAGAATGAATCATAAGTCTGATACAGCACTGCAATGTGGCAAACCCAACATGTAGCTTTTGCCATGCATGAATGATATAAGACTGTTATGGTCTATTCAGCTATATTATCTGATGTAACTTTTGTAAAATCAAATAAAAATCTGTACAAACAGTACCAGGTAAGGTAGAACATACTGATAGGTGACTAGTAGCCAGGGGTAGTGATCATGTGGGCAGCTCTGTCAATGGAGGTTCAGGTAGCTTCCATGCAGGACGGTCTTAAGCATATGTGGTGCTGGGGTGCAAAGATCCGCCTGCCCCCTCCAGGTTGCCCAGTCCCAGGTGCACAGGAGGGTGGAGCCGGCCGGCTACCTCAGTGTCTCACTGGCTCGGTCGCCCCCCAACTTGCGGCATAGAGCTGCCCGCAGCAGAAGAGCCCGCTACGGCACTCCAACAGGTGGGCTCTTCCCCGCACCCAATTCTTGGGCCCCGGACTCTTGGCCTGGCACCCCTGAGAGCCCGGGCGCCACGCATCCCTTGTGCCTGTGGGTAAGACGGCCCTGCTTCCATGACTAGAAATGCTTTTACCAACTGCAACTATGACCATTCTGGGACCAGGAAAACCTAGTCTCAGCAGTTCATGTGTTGGTTACTTCAAGACTGGATTACTGCAAAGCAATCTAGATGGGGCCTTCCTCGTGCTTGATCTCAAAGCTGTGGTCACTGCAGAATGCTGCAGCATGATTGCTGATAGACGTGAGGCTTTGTCAGCACATATGACCTCTGTGCACAGATCTGAACTGGTTGCTGATTTGCTATTGGGCCAAGTTCAATATGTTACTATTAGCATATAATGCCCTTGGGACCAGTTCGCCTATGAGATTGTCTCACCCCACATGTGCCCACTTGACTACTTCTATCAGCAGAACTGGCGCTACTACAAGTGTCACATAATACCCGTTCTGCATTTGTAAGAACTGAGTCGTTGAGTGTGGCAGCACCTGGATTTGGAACTCCCTGCCTATTGAGGTCAAGCAGGCACATTCACTGTACACTTTCTGGCACCTGCTAAAAACATCCTGTTTAGACAAACCCACCAAGATGCTCAGAAAGCTGAGGTGAGTTGTAATTTTTCAGTATTTTAACTTCTATATGTTTTAAAGTACGGTCGTGGCTATTTCTTGATTTTACTGTTTTATCTTTTTCTCTAAACTGCTTTGAGAGTTTTCTTTTTAAAAGACAATCAAGCGGTGTATACATTTTATGAAATAAAAGGAATGGATGGATGAAAAGAATGGGGCAATGTAACACGTCCTGGTGAGACCTTTTTGGGCATCGCTACAGAGGAAGGCTTTTCAGAAACCTGCAATGGCTTAGATCAGGTTGGAAGGGACTCACAGCTTGGGTGCCATCCTCTTCACACTTGATCCTGCACTCGCTGTTGAACTGGAAGCCATTGGTGCAGTGGTAGAGCCCGTAGAACTTGGAGGGTGGAGGTTCGCAGGTGACAGGTGTACAAGCTCCTTCTAGCCAAGTTCCATCTTGGCCACACTGGATCTTAAAGGCCCTCCTACAGTACATTGGGGGGGGGGGAGAAGGTAAACAGGAGAGACAGTTGATTTATTTAACACGCATCCTGAGTTCCGTAACATTTTCCCAAGCTGCCACCACAACAGACATTTGTGTCCCTGACACTTCAGGACCATGGTGGTGGATTTATGCTGTGTGGTCTCCTAATGAAAACAATGACTATTTCCAAAGGTCCAGCTGCTGAAGTCCCCCCCCCCACTGAAAATCTTCACCCAGACCTTAAGGTCAGTGGCTATTTTTGATGTGGGTTTCTTTTCCTCCACTCGCCATCCCCACTGAGTCATAAAACGTAGAATACCAGTAAACCTCTTTTTCCCACCAAGGTTCAAAGGGGACTCCCCAGGTTGCATATCAAAGAGGGTATTTCCAAAAGGAGGTTCCTAGCACAGAGCTGGTTTGTGAATGCAATGGGTTATAGAGGCAGAATGAGAGGGGTGAGCTTTAATGGCTAGCATCTTCAATAAAGGAGCAGGTAACAAGAGGCTCCTGAGATAAACCATTAAATTGCATTCTCATGCAAAATTCCATGGAAGTCATCCTTGATGCTTTGCCCTTTTATGTGTGCACAGGGGAGGGTGGTGGCAGCCAGGATTGTGGTTATTGCATTTAAGCGCTATGGAATTAGAGTACACTTTTTGCTCCCTTGATCCACTCCTGTTGTGCTCTCTTGCAACAGCTTATGCCTAGAACTCCGTCCCAGAACAGCTATGTGGCACTGCCTTTCTCCATTCCTTCAAAGGCCTCATTCTCATAAGCAACTAATAGAGGAGGCCAATTTGTTTCTGGCCTGTTCAAGACATCTGAAGAGCCCTGTGGTCTATCTAGTCCAGCATCCTGTTCTCACAAGTGGTCAACCATATACCTATAGGAAGCTCACAAACAGGACATGAATGCAATAGCATTCTCCAGATTCATGTGCCCCAGGCATTGGTAGCTCTCTAAGTGGTTTCCCAGGCAATGCCCCAGGCATTGGTAGCTCTCTAAGTGGTTTCAGAGGTGATTTTGGGCCAGTAATGATTTCATAGAATCATAGAGCTGGAAGACACAATGAGGGTCATCTAGTCCAACCCCCAATATGGGACTCAAACCCACAACTCTGAGATTAAGAGTTATTACAGGAGGCAACTGACCCACAATGACCACTAGATTTACTGTTAACACATTCTTCTATTAAAGCAGTCCAAGTTGGTAGCCTTCTCTATATATCATGTAGTGAATTTCCATAATTCAGTTGTGCTATGTGAAGTCCTTCCTTCCTTCCTTCCTTCCTTCCTTCCTTCCTTCCTTCCTTCCTTCCTTCCTTCCTTCTTTCCCAGATCTCCCACTTCAGACTTTAGTGGGGAGCATACATGGAATGTCCTCCATTGCCATGGAGCCCATTTTGTAAAACCCTCTGCTTCATGCAGAAAAAGTCAGGTCACTTCCACACTATACATTTAAAGCTTCTGCCACCTTGAACAGTTATGTTCAGGCTCCCTGCCCCCTTCCCAAATAATCATGGGAACTGTAGTCTGCTAAGGGTACTGAGACTTATTAGGAAACCACTTAGAGAGCTACATTTCCCAGCGCCGTTTACAAACATTTTACCATGTGAGATAAGACTCAGCTGAGAGGTAGTGGCTAGGGATATATGGAACCCTTTGTCTCATTTTTCCAATTCTAAATTCAGTTTGCCACATTTCTACAGCTATTTGCATTATATATTTTAAAAAAACCTTCATGGAAATCTGTCAGCACAATGCAAATTTCTTCTCAAAACCACTTTTTTTGTAAAAAAAAAATTTAACTACTGTACAGATTTTTGTAAGGAATTCTCCCCTGCAGTCCAGTTCATATGTTATTTTCACAAGTACAGTCATGTTTATGCACACTTTCCCCCTAAAATATGCATTTTTGTTTGACTGGAGAACTACATCAGAAAATTAAGAGAACTGCAGAGTTTGAAGGATGGCTGTTCTCGTATTCCCCCCGAAAGTCCAAATTAGGTTTGCCTTTGCATACAAGCAGAATTAAATTTCTTCCCTGTTCCTGGTCAAGAAACTTTGTGGCCAAGTAGAGATTTGAACCTGGGACTCCCAAGTCCTAGTCCAGCACTCTAACCAGTACACCAGACTGATTGTAAATAATCAGTAATGAAAAGAGACACAGCAACCTGTTGCAGCACCCACTTACTTCCTCGCCTTCCGAGAGGATCCTGGGACATGGTAACCTGGCTTGCATTTATACTTGCAAAAGGAACCAACTTTGTGTTTCTCTTCACGACAGCGAGCAGTTTGGAGGTCGGCACTGGGGACTAAAGGAGGAGCTGGGCACATCAGTTCACAGAGCGCCTCAGGAAAGGACCAGAGCCCATCTTCCAAGCATGTCAAGTTGCTGTTGTTCCCTGGACAGAGACAGAAGTGAGAGTGAGTTGTGATGTGAAGAGTAATGCATGCCGAAGAATTTGGTGAGCTGAAGGCTGTGTTAACTGGGGATGGTCTGACCCAGTATAAGGCAAACTCCTGTGTCCCTATGCTCTTTAGGTAAAGGACCATAGCTCACTGGCAAAACATTTGATCCCAGCTTCAGTCTCCGACAACTCCAGGTAAGACTGCGAGAGACTCCCTATATGAAACGCTGGAGAGCCATTGCTAGTCAGTGGAGACGATATTAAGCTAGATGGACTAATGTTTTGGTTCAGAATAAAGCAGCTTCTTATTTTTAAAGAGTGTATAATTAAAGCAACATACATCTTCAAAACATCACCAAGCATCACATAAAACAGGGGAAGGGAGCTAGGTGTCTTCCCAATGTTCAGCATGGCTAATGGTCAGAGATGCTGAGAATTGTAGTCCAACAATATCTGGAGGGCCACAGGGTCCCCAAACTTATATAAAAAAGAAAATGAGTTCTGTATTTTGGAGTGTACTACTGAAGTGATTAGACATGACTAACTTAGGTTCATAAACTATGGTGAGTCCACCCTGAGTAAAACTTAGCTGGCTGCAATCTGATAAAATTCAGAAATGGGGGGGAAACAATATACATGTTGAGCTAAGCCAAAGCATGTTCCCCAATATACTAGCTTTCTATGTGCAGGGATGATGGTGAGCATTTCGTCAAGTGACACCCCCCCCCCCCCGCATACAATCTACAGTGGTACAGCTCAGGCATAAGAAAGTTATTCACATTGTATGTTCTGAAACAGAAACTTTTAGAAGCCGCCTTGTCAGTATTACAGGCCAGGTACTTACCAGGCAATGAAATGCCACTTCAAAGTAGTTTTGTAAATTGTTTGGAGACCTTTATGTGAAACAACCAATTATCAAGTTTAAATAAAATAACAACAATATGTGATTGCCCAGTGTAACCTTTGGAAAAGTGGCAAGATTGCAAAGGATGATGGCATTATCACATATTGTGCCTTCTCTGAGCCAAGGGATTCATTTCATAGTCCTTACTTTATTCATGTCCACAGTAATTCAGGCCATAATGTCCTTCACATTGGGAGCTAGTAAGTGGTGTAGCATGGGGGGCAGCTACTGGGGTGATTCCCCTGGGCACAAAATTCTTAGAGGGCGCAAATTGCACTATGCCACTGGGCTGCAGCAGTCCCGAAGTTGCCATGAGACTGGGAGGGGGCTCCCTTTTCTGGCCTGGAAATGCATGGAGTGTGCAGAGCACGCGTCTCCCATGAGGCTGGGTGGGTTGCAAGAAGGGAGTCTGGCAGTTGGCCAAGGCCAGGCCCTCCCATGCTGTGGTGGAGCCCCATGTCACTGCCCTCCTTCTTTGGCCCCTCAAGTCCTTTGCTAAGCACTGCACGCCACATGCTTCTCATGCCATGATTGGTGCCACCGCCATGTGCCCTGGGTTGCTGCTGTGCCTGTGCCTCCCTTGGCTCCCTCCTGCCCCTGCCTTGGGACAGAGGTTGCTGGAGGCCTTACGGCACTACAGAACTCCCAACCCAGGCCCCCATATGGGAGCAGGCAGCTGCAGGCATGGTGGGGCACAGCAGGAGCACCCAGCATGGAAGAAGAAATGACTGCACAAGCCTATAGAAAGCTGACATATACAAATCAGGTCACAGGTCTATCTATTGTCTATACTGACTGGTAGCAGCTCTCCAGGTGTTCAGGTAGGGATGTCTCTAGTCGTGCCTTGAGATGTTGGGGATTGAACCTGGGACCTCCTCACAGAGCTCTAATTCTAAGTGTGGTTTAACTGTCAATCCTTCTTTCCAGAGAACTCTGAGAATTGTAGTTCTTTGAAGAGACACTGGATCTCCGAACAACCCTCAGCATCCCTGACAAATTAGTTCCTACGATTTTTTGAGGGAACCATGGCTGTTTAAAGTGGCATGATACTGCTTTAAATGCATAGTGCAGATGGAAGCCTGTTGCATGGGAGTCTGTTGTGCTGGATTTGCGAACAAGGTAAGTAAACCACAGTTTAGAATTTTGGACTTTGTGGGGTCCCTGAATACTTTTTGTTTCTTTTAACAAATCTGACGTTTTACGTTATCTGTTAAAATAAATGAATAAGTAAAAGAAACAGAGAAACTCTAAGAAAGACAATATTGTTCTGATATGAAAAAATAAACTTAATGGCTACACAATTATTTGTTAATCTGTGTAGAAATAACTATAATATAGTTTACATATAAGCTAAGTAAGAAATCATGAGGTATTTTCATTTAAAGGAACTACTTTAAAAACCTCCAGAGAGACAGAGTCCACCTTGGAAGGTGGTAAACTCTTTTTGAGCTTCTTAAACAGAGACTGAATGGTCAACTTCAAGGGCTTCAGACGCAAAGCTTTCCCCCCCCCCCCAAAAAAAATCTCAAAATAGAGAACAGTTTTTCAGACATTTCAGCGATTTTCAACCAGACACTACATATGGGCTTATTGCAAATAGGTGGGAAGGTTAATGCTATGTTGCCTCTTAAACCTGCCTCAGTTTAGGGGTTCCACATGTCTTAATCTAGTGGCAGGAGTCAACGAAGAGAAAGACAAGAATGAAGGAAAAGAAAGAAGCAGGGATGCTCAGATGTTCGCCTGGAAAAGGGGGGGGGGAGCAAGAGGGCTTCTGTATCTTTTCCCCTCCCAACAGCCATGAGGCGCTGAGGTATTTTTGTACAGTTCTGAAAAGCTCCCTTCCTGGTCCAGCGGCTTTGTTTTTCTCCTGTCTGACTCACACAGCATGTCCGCAGTCCAGCGCAGATGATCTCATACTTGCTACGGCAGGGTGATGAACTGTGACATTAAAAAACAGTGGTTTGTGTGACATCAGTGGTCAAATTAAGGAGTGAGTCATCCCAGCTTCCCGACTCAAGGAGCTTGCTGGCTGAGCCCTATTAGTCATCGTTTTGTGATTTGGCGCCCAGAACTTCTTTTTCTCCTCCCCACCCCCCATTTCACTTTTGACAGCTACCGGTCCAAGTGTTGCCGTAATGCTCAAGTTGCAAGCAGGGTGGGTTTCAGGCTACTTTAGAATGCCGAAAGCAGCCTCTTCTTGGTCAGGCCAAGAGCCTGCGCTTAGACCAGGATCTTTTCTCAGAAGCCAACAGACATTTCTCAGCTTTCCAGCCACAGTCCAGAAAGCTTGCACCTCAAACATCTGAGTTCAAATTTATTCCATGAATATGCAGGCTGGACCAATGTTGCTCTTTCCAGGCTTTGCTTGTGGACAATGCTTTCTCACATTCTGTGGAGCTGAGCTGTTGGGTGGTTTCTCGCGTGGTGAAACGGGAAGGGGCTGCAGCTCAGTGGTAGAGCATCTGCTTTGTACGCAGAAGGAAACTCAAGGTAGAGCTGGGAGCATCTCCTGCCTGAAGTTCCTGGAGAGCCACAGTCAGTCACTGTATCCAATACTGTGCTAGATGACCCAATTGTCTGACTCTGTATCTGGCAACTTCCTGTGATCCGATGTATCTATGTTGCAGTTTCATATAATGCTGAGATACTGTTTTTTAAAAAAATGTTAAGTGGTTTAGAAATGCTTTTAAATAAAAATAAATAAACATTCCTTTACTTGCACATTTTAGAGTAGAATTGGGAATAGGTTTACGAAAGAACATACACAAAATTATAGTGGGCTGGAAATAAAACAGATCTACCTCCATTACATTTGTAGGCATTGGCTGATAGGAACTGGCTCTTGATAAGGGCTCAGCAGACTGAGTGCTTAGTCAGGAGGCAGAGATAGTACTGAAGCCTATGTGGTGCCTTGTGGAGCAGAGCTCAATATGCAAGGTTTAAGGGTTGTCGGTGCGCACGTGTGTGCTTCACAACCAAGCAATATATAAATTTTGTGAAAGAAAGAAAGAAGGAAGGAAGGAAGGAAGGAAGGAAGGAAGGAAGGAAGGAAGGAAAGGCAGAGATCAGGTATTGCTGGGACACAAGGCACTGGAGCCTGGGAGCAGTGCTAGGAGGCAACACACACAACACGGTAGCCTACCCACACTTGCATGTAACACTGAAGCATAAGGGTCCATTTTATGGTTGTGTCCTTCCTGCTTACCCTTCAGCTGGGCAGGAGGCTTACAAGTGAAAGAACATCTCTTGCCAAAGGTGGTGCCCTCACTGCAGTTGAAGGTGGCTGGATAGACATGATACTGGTCAGGGATCCCACAGTCCACAGGCTCACAGGCTACTTGCTTGCTCCACTTCCCATCCACACAGGTCATGGTGACACTGGGCTCCACCTGAAAAAGAAAGCATGGACTCACTAAGAGCTGAATGAGACACGGTGGGAGCCCCCAAAAGCATTTATTGGCATTGCCCCATGCTTGTAAATTGGGTTTCAGCCCATGGCCACTTGTCTTTGGGGGGGGGCAATTATTTTTTATTGATTCTCCATAATTTTTAACAAATTATCACCAGATTGGTACAAAATAGTACAAATTTAATACAAATTTAAAAGCTGACTTCCCATTTCCCCAGATGTTTCCTTTCTCTTTTTCTCCATGCATTGCTGCTCCTAGTACAACAACTTTTCCAACTTTATGTCAAAATTCATTCATCCCTTCTCCCTGCACGTCACCTGAACAAGTACCAATCTCTGCTTTGACTTTTATACATTGTTATAACAGGTCAGCGGGCAACCTTCACCATGTCCAAGTTCCCTTTCCTATAGGTGATTTATTTTTTATTATGTCATGGAGTGGAAGAGCAGTACTATTGGAACACACAATGCAAGCTTCCCACCATCAGGATGCAGGATGGAAACAGATGCTACATGATAGGCAAGAGCCAATGTAGTCTGGTGGTTAAAGTGTTGGACTAGGACCTGAGACACCAATTCCCCATCTAACCCAGCATCCTATTCTCACAGTGGTCAACCAGATGCCTCAATGGGAAACTTGCATGCAAAATCTGAGCATAAGAGCACTTTCCTCTCCTGTGGTTTCCAGCAACAGGTATTCAGATGTACTGCTGTCTCCAGCTGTGGAGGCACAGCAGAGACACCATGGCTAGTAGCTTCCAATAGATCTTCTTCTCCATGAATTTGTCTTATCCTCTTCTACTGCCATCTAGGTTAGTGGCCATCACTGTCTAATGCAGTAGTAAGTTCCAGAGTTTAAACGAGCTGTGCGAAGAAGTACTTTCTCTTCTCTCTCCTGAATCTTCCAACATTTAGCTTCATTGGATATCTATGAGTTCTAGTGTTAGAGAGGAAGACGAACTTTTCTCTATCCACTTTCTCCGTGTCTTGCGTAATCTTATAAACCTCTATCTTGTCACCTCTTGTTCACCTTTTCTCTAAACTAAAAAGTCCCAAATGCTGCAACCTTTATTCATAGGAGAGTCACTTGATCATTTTGGTTGCCCTTTTCCAAACCTTCTCCAACCTTACAATATTCTTTCTGAGATTAGGTGACCAAAACTGTACACGGTATTCCAAATGCGGTTGTGCCTATACATTTTTATAACAGCAATAAATCAACAGGTTTATTTTAAATTCCTTCCCTAATGATCCCTATCGTGGAGTTTGCCTTCTTCACAGCTGCCACACCCTGAGTTAGAATATTCATTTAGCTAACTACTATGACCCCAAGGTCTCATTCCTGCTCAGACACTGCCAATTCAGACCCCATGAGTGTGTATGTGAAATTAACTTTTAAAAATTTGCCCTGACATGCATCACTTTACACTTGTTTACACTGAATTGCAATTGTCATTTTATTGGCCATTCACTCAGTTTGGAGAGATCCTTTTGGAGCTTTTCACAATCTTTTTGTTATAGTGACCCTAAAAATCTAGTATCGTCAGGCAACTTGGCCATATCATTGCTCACTCCTAACTCTAGCTCATTTATGGACAAGTTTAAACACACAGATCCCTTGGGGACTCTGCTTTTGATATCTTCCCATTCATATAACTATCAGTTTAGACCTGTTCTTCACTTCATGCAACTTAACAAATTCCTGGTCAAACCTTTTTTCTCTCTCCAAGCATTTTGAAAGTCCAGGTTACTATGTCATCTGGATCGCCTCTATCTGTATGCTTATTGACACTCTCAAAGAGTTCTAATAGGTTTGTGAGACAGAACTTTCCCTTGCAGAAGCCATGCCGCCTCTGCTTCAGTCGGACTTGTTCTTCTATGTGCTTGGTTATTTTATTTTTAACAATACTTTCCACCATTTTTCCTGGGACACACATTAGGTTAACTGACCTGTAATTTCCAGGATTCCCCCCAGATCTCTCTCTTATTAAAAATGGTGCCACATTGGCTACTTCCCAGTCCTTAGATATGGAGGCTGATCTGAGAGACAAGCTACATATCTTTTTGTTAGACAATCAGTTTCACATTTATGTTCTTTGAGAACTCCCAGCTGGATGTCATCCAGACCCAGCAATTTGTCAGTTTTCATTTTGTCTATTAGGCTTCACTATTCATCTCTTGTCACCGCTACCTGCCTCAGGTAGGGCAGGGAGAGATCCCTGCCCGAAATCCCAGAGACCGATTGCAAGTCAACAAAGACAATACTGAACTAGATGGACGAATGGTCTGACTCTGTATAAGGCCACTGACTAGCTCCTATATCAGGGGTCAGAAAACTTTTTCAGTAGGGGGCCAGTCCACTGTCTCTCAGACCTTGTGGGAGGGCAGACTATATTTTGGAAGAAGAAAAAAAAGAATGAATTCCTATGCCCCACAAATAACCCAGAGATGCATTTTAAGTAAAAGGACACATTCTACTCATGTAAAAACACACTGATTCCTGGACCGTCCGTGGGCCGGATTGAGAAGGCGATTGGGCCGGATTCAGCCCCCAGGCCTTAGTTTCCTCTCCATGTCCTATATGAACAATCTGAGCCAAACAGAACATACGTGGAATGGTTAAATGGCAAACCTACCACACAGCTGACTGGGACACTGTGAAACTATGTGTGCCCCCCCCAGCAAGGGGGGGGGGAGAAGAGAGATCTGATTCAGGTCTGGCAATGTCGGGAGTCTGGTTCTGCCAAGCATTGATGTGTGCTTATGAAAGCATGGGGAATTTTTCCAGCATACATCAAAGGGAAGCTGAGTCCCCATTTGCCAAGGCACCCTAATAGTTTCAGCAGCTTGGGACCTATCTGCTTTTGATATATGGCTGCTTTTGGATGGGAAAAGCAGCCTTACAGCACACCTCCTGTCTAAGGAAGACAGGCAGTTCCCCAAATGGACACTTTCCCCTGCAGAGTTTTCCAAGCCAGTAAACTGATGCAAAACAAGGAATGCCTCCTATAAACTGGACTAAGGAATTGGTGCAGTTTGGAATCTTTCAAGACCTCAAGTTTAGTTTATTCGGTCTACAGACCATAAATGTCATATACAGTATAGGATGATCAGGAGTGAAAAGACAACAATCCACAAATCTATGCCCCTCTTTCAAAGTTGTCTAATTTTCTTCTAAAGCCCTCTCAGCCAGTGGCTACGTTATCGGATCTTGTGACAGCACTTTTTTTTTTATTAAAGGGAATGCTAACTTAATAATAAAAGATGCAAAGGCTGCAATCCTATGCCGACTTACCTGGGAGTAAGCCCCATTGAATTCAGTGGAGCTGAATTTATTTACAGTGGTATCTCGGGTTAAGAACTTAATTCGTTCCGGAGGTCTGTTCTTAACCTGAAACTGTTCTTAACCTGAAGCACCACTTTAGCTAACCGCCACCGCTGCGCGATTTCTGTTCTCATCCCGAAGCAAAGTTCTTAACTCGAGGTACTATTTCTGGGTTAGCGGAGTCTGTAACCCAAAGCGTCTGTAACCTGAAGCGTCTGTAACCCGAGGTACCACTGTATTTATTTTGAAGCATTTGTAAAAATAAATAAATAAATAAATAAATAAATTTTTTTAAAAATGTACCGGTAAAAGCACAAATGGTTAAACAGATAAAAGAAGAAAATCAAGAAAAAATCACAAGCCTACTTTAAAACATACAAAAGTTAAAATCCTAAAATTGATTAAAATTACCTCTGTTCTGTAAGCATCTGGATAGGCTTGCCTAAACAAAACTGTTTTTAGCAAGCACTGAAAAGAGTACAGTGAAGGCACTGCTTGATCTCAATAGACAGGGAGTTTAAAAGTGCAGTTGTTATTGATGAGCTTTCTGAGTTATACACCCTTCCAGACATACCTTCTGCAGTGCTATAGTTTGTGAATTCTTCATGCATTTTTTAAAAGTCCTCACAATAATTTGTCAAAGTTTTAGTGCAAACATATCCCAATGTGCGCATTTTTGCAAGTTCTTCCCCCTAATATATTACTGCATGCTATTTCCACAAACACAAAACATTCTAATGCAAACCTTCCCCTAACATACATATCTTTATTAATTTTGTGGGGTAAACATTTGGTTTGAGAGCTGCCTTACACAATGTAGAGAAGAGTGAATTCAGAAACTGGCTGCATTTTGGGAATAGCGGTTTAGGGAGTTTCATATAGAAATGGAACTGATTTCTCCCCATAACTAGGCTGTTATCCAGTAGAATATCCTCTGTTAACTTTAACAAATAATATGGTAACAGTAATGCATACCCTACAGAACACACACAAACCCTTTGTAGTGCTGCTGGTTTGCAAAATCCATCCGCTGCCCCTTTCAACTGGACCCTCTACAGTCCCTTTCCCCCAAAGAACTGGCTGCTGCGTTCTGAAAGAGGAGCCTCAAATTGAACCCACATGAGGCTGGCCTTTTCTCTCTCCCTCTCAGCTCCCGCATGATTGATTAATTTTTTACAGAGCATTAAGGAGCTGTCAAGTTTTAAGCAGCACCTCCTGACCACAGAGGCAGCAGAGGAGGAGAGGCTGCGATGACACCAAGCCACCAACTGAGAGAGTGGCAGCTTGTTACTAAACAGGGGTGGGGGTCGCAGAGGCAAGAGGTGGGAAACAGGGAGGAAGTTCAACCATCCAACAAATGACACAGGCAAAGAAGCACATGCACTATTGGATTGTGATTATTGCAGGGGGGAATTTTAGTCAGTGGCAAAGCTCTTATCAGTACACAAAAATGAATTCCAAACCCTTGATAGACAATGTGCGCGCGCGTGCATGTGCTTGTGAAATTACAGTGTATGTGTGTGCAAGCAAAATCGCTTGTGATGCTGAGAGCTGCATGCAAAGGCCCTCTCAGAATTCTGCACCTGATTTGCAGGCAGGCAAATGGAAGAACCACAGCTTACTGGTAGAGTGTTTGCTTTGCATGAGGTGAGTCCCAGGTCATATCCCCGGCATCGCCAGACATGGCTGGAAATATTCCCTGTCTGCAAACATTGGTGAGCTGCGCCACTCACTGTAGACAATACTGAGCTAGGTGGACCAATGTTCTGACTCAGGCAGTTCCCTAGGTGTTCTGAACTCAGGATCCCAGCCACTGTATTGGAGAAGGGCTGTTGCTCAGTGGTAAAATGCAGAACCTTCACATGCAGAAGGTTCCAGGTTCAATCCACAGCACATCCAAGTAAGGTGGGGAGAGACACATGTATGAAAACCCTGCAGAACCACTTCCCATCAATGTAGACAATACTGAGCTAGGTGGACCCACAATCTGGCTCTGCATAAGGCAGCCCCCTATGTTCCAAAGTGAACAATTCACCAACCTCCTCCAAGAGTGCAAAGCATCCTGGAAACTGTGCCTTATTAAGGTTTCTGATGGTTGTGAGGAGACCTCCCTTCCCCTCACAGAGCTACAGTTCCTAGAGAATATGTACTGATTGCTTTCTTCCCTTATCTCTTTCTTTCTGCCTCCACCTGCTCTCCCCTTGTTCCCTCCCCCCTTGCCATTTGAATGAAATTAGGCTGAGGGACACATTAAATTCAGCCAAGGGACACAGGTTGCCCACCCCACCATAGATCCTGGAGCAGGGAGATATTTTTCTATGTGTGTTAAAAAGAAAGAAATCAGCAGCTTGCACCTACAGTGGTGCCTCGCAAGACGAAATTAATTCGTTCCGCGAGTTTTGTCATCTTGCGATTTTTTTCGTCTTGTGAAGCACGGTGTCGGGAAAGCTTTGGAAAAGCTTCAAAAATCACCAAAGTCTTTAAAAACCTCAAAAAAGGCTACCACACCACGTTCTATGAGTTGCTCCTCAAAGTCAAGTCACAACTGTATTAACGGTGTTAAGAAAAAGGAAACAAACTTGCAAGACGTTTCCGTCTTGCGAAGCAAGCCCATAGGGAAAATCGTCTTGCGAAGCAGCTCAAAAAACAAAAAACCCTTTCGTCTTGCGGGTTTTTTGTCTTGCGAGGCATTCGTCTTGTGAGGTACCACTGTATTGGGATCAGCTCTTTCTCTATGTTTACTCAATGAAAAGAAAAGGAAGCAGTCGCATATGTGGAAAGGGCAAGTGCAATTAATATTTCCTCAACATTTCCTTAGTTCAAATAAAAAGTCAATGGTCCATTACCGCTGGCTTTGTTTATTAATTGGCCACTGTCTGTAGACACCAGCAAAGCCCTCTCCTGGGTGCCCTAGCACATTATGAGGGCTAGGGAAATAAGCAAGGTCACCTCTTATTAATGCATGGCATGGAGATGGCAAGAGACAGCAGGAGTTTCTCTCTAACATTGCTGCTTCTGGATATGAGACCTTCAGGCTAGGGCCTGAGTGTCCTGTTCACCAAAGTTTTGGGGTGCATTCGCCTCTGGTGAGCTGGCGAGTGGATTTGTAGATGCTGGCCTAGGTTAATGTCTGCATTGTGAAGAACTTAAGCAAAGCCCTCCTAGGTCAGGCTAAAAGCCCAGTCAGTCCAGCATCCTTTTTCTCACAGTGCCTAGCCAGACGTCTACAGGAAGCCAGCAAGGAGGACCAAAGCATAACAGCACTCTGCCCACCTGTGATTCCCAGCAACTGGTATTCAGAGACTTACTGGAGTCTACAACTCAATGGTAGATTACATAATCTGCATGCAGGAGGCCCCAGTTTCAATCTCCCTGTCATCTCCACTCAAAAGTGATGGGAAAGACCTCTGTGTGAAACCTTGGAAAGCCACAATCAGTCAGCATTGGGACAGTACTCAGCTAGATGGGCCAACGGGCAGATTCCCTACATGCATCCAAGCCCCAAAACCTCAGTGGAGAGAGACTGCTGTGTGTGTGTGAATTAACTAAGTACCCATTTGCCTTGCAAGCAGGGCTTCTTGATCAAAACCAGGCACACTAACTGGCTCTAATCTCCTGCCGCCGCCAACCCCCGCCCCCGCCCCACAGAGGGCTCCCTGCCACAAAAACGATATGGATGGTGATTTGTTTGGTTTGCAGATTCTTGCACTTCTTGACGATAAGGGCCCATTTCCCAAGCATTTCCTTGTTCAGTAAGTCAGGCTCATTTGAGAATTTGTTTCCCGTACTGCAAGAAGTGATCAGCTTTAGGGAGGTTCTGGTACTGGTGTCAGTTAGCATGAAGGAAGTGGGGGTGGGAATGAGGCCCAGACTGCAGTGTCCTCTGTTGGGTCTGCTATTAAATCAAAAAGGGGTTGACTCATCCTGGACTCCCCTTCCCCCACACGCACCTCAAGTATCTCCCCTTGGTAGCATTATGAAGGGTCTTAGTGTTTTCACAAAATGATGCTATATAAACCTCTAGGCGTAGCCCACCCACTTGCAAATTTGTCCTCAATTAACACTCTCAATGAATGCTCTCCACAGCGCGGCCCTTGAATGTGCAGAATGTTGTGAAACTGCTTTGTGCATGTGTGTGCTAAACCTTGGATTTCTCTTCTTCGCATAGAGCCAGTGGAAAGAGAAGTAAACAAGCAATTGGTGGGGCGGGGTGATACTGAGTGAGTGTGTGTGTGTGTGTGTGTGTGTGTGTGGAGGGGTGGGGAATAGTAGCTGCCAGCTCTCTCCTGGAAGAGACAAGGAGGAAGTCAGTTGGTGCTGAGGCCACGTTAGGGTAAGATCTGTCACAATGAAGGCCCAGATAGGGGACTCACTCTAGGTGGATAGAAAAGGAACATAGGAAGCTGGCTTATCCTGAGTCAGACTATTGGTCCATCTAGCAGAGTACTGCCTACACTGACTGGCAGAGGCTCTCCACGATTTCAAGCAGGGGACATTCTCAGTCCTACCTGGAGATGCCTACTTGGAGATGCCAGATGAAGCTGGGACCCTCTGCATGCAAGGCAGATGCTTTGCCACTGGTGGGCTTTCTCTTTATAGCTATAGGGTTGTATCCCATGCTAGTTCTACTCACAGTAGCCCCATTGAAAACAGTTTCGTTGCCTTACTTAGATCCATTAATTTCACTGAGCCTGCTTTGAGTAGAACTATCACTGGATACAACCCATTCAGTCTGAAATGGGTCTAGTGGCACTCTAAGACAACCGTCCTGTGTATCACCTCCCAGACCCAACCCACAAGGATCCCTATTTACCAGGAATGGTACCTATTTCAGTGGTGCCATTAAGACAGGGCTTTGAAGGACGGAAGTCCAGAGAGGAGGCAGGGAAGGAAAGCCCCCCCCCCCAATCAAACTGAGGCAACATAGTACAGCTTCATAGAGTGGTATATTAAGAACAAATCAATGCAGACATTTTCAACTGGAAGCCACATTTCACTTAACTAAAGTACTCCAACTCTATATTTCATTGATCCCATATACATCCCTATCACAAGGAGAAATGTCCAAAAAAATTTCATGAGACTTATTAATATAACTCAAACAAGGGGCAACAGAATGCAACAAAGTGATCATGCCTTAACCTAATGTTGTAATAATAATAATAATAATAATAATAATAATAATAATAATAATAATAATAATAAATTTATTATTTATACCCCACCCATCTGGCTGGGTTTCCCCAACCATTCTGGGCAGCTCCCAACAGAATATTAAAAACACAATAAAACATGAAACATTAAAAACTTCCCTAAACAGAGTTGCGTTCAGATGTCTTCTAAAAGTCAGATAGTTGTTTATTTCCTTGACATCTGATGGGAGGGCGTTCCACAGGGAGGGCGCCACTACCAAGAAGGCCCTCTGCCTGATTCCTTGCAACCTCACTTCTCACAGTGAGGGAACCGCCAGAAGGCCCTCAGCACTGGACCTCAGTGTCCGGGCTGAACGATGGGGGTGGAGAGGCTCCTTCAGGTATAATGGGCTGAGGTCGTTTAGGGCTTTAAAGGTCAGCACCAACACTTTGAATTGTGCTTAGAAACGTACTGAGAGCCAATGTAGGTCTTTCAAGACTGGTGTTATATGGTCTCGGCAGCCACTCCCAGTCACCAGTCTAGCTGCCACATTCTGGATTAGTTGCAGTTTCCAGGTCACCTTCAAAGGTAGCCCCACATAGAGCGCATTGCAGTAGTCCAAGTGAGAGATAACCAGAACATGCACCACTCTGGCAAGACAGTCTGCGGGCAGGTAGGATCTCAGCCTGCATACCAGATGGAGCTGGTAGACAGCTGCCCGGGACACAGAATTGACCTTAGTTGGGTGTGAGTGTGTGTAGATAGAACATTCATTGTTCCACCAACTTCACCTACCTGGCTTCACCTACCACTGGCATATGGCCCAGAAGGGAATGTGGCCATCAGGATTAAAGAAGTCCCCAGCCCCTGCTATAACCCATAGCACTGCCTACTATTATATTATGAGATCCTGTATCTATTTAAATGATGGTGAAACCATTCCCCCCACCCACCCAACCCAGAGAGCTATTCCCTCACCCTGGCAGATTATGCACTGCAGTAACAAACCTGATTCTTTGCAAGATCGTCATCTCTCTGTATTTGAAGGATGTAGCCTGTCTTGCAGGTGACATTGCACTGGGCACCATTAAAACGCCCCGCACTGGAGAAGGTCAGCACAGCGTTCTCAATCTCCAGTTCTTGGCAATCAGTGGCTTTGCAGGAGTAGTGGACACAACTGTTGGGGGAGAAAAGGAATATATATGCTTCTTGGTGGTTTACAAGTACAAAACCAACAACAATGTGCACAATTAAAATACACAATAAAGCAATAAAACACCTGTAATCAAAATGCTCAATAAAACAAGTTCATCTAGGTTGCATTCACACAGCACTTTATTCCATTTTCCCAGCTGTAAATTTCTGCATTATATTTGAGCTTTCACACAACATAAAAGCCATTTCTGGAAAGCGAGTAGACTATAGTGGAAGTTTTGTGCTCATTTCCATGTTAATTGGTTCCAAAAATAATCCATTTGCAACCCCATAAACCCAGAAAATTGCAGGAGTAAAGTGACAAAACTTGAGGTAGTATGCAAGCTTACAGCTCCTCCCTGGTGTTTTCATGGAGGAATCATCGGGGAACCAAAGCAGGTATGTGTGGAATGGGAGGGTGGGGGGCAGCGAACCTGTCCAATGAGATTCCCACTGGTGGGAATTAAATTTATCGTGACACACCAGCATATGGGTCAAAAAGCCGCAGTTGCTTAACACAACAGGTACTACAGCATGAAAGGAACATTAGAAAACAGAACATAAGCACTAGGAAAACTAACACAACACTCCCCGCATCCAACTGCATCCCAAAACAGTGCTATGTTCAAAACAGTGAAAACGGTAATTAAAACAGGAGGTTGTAGCTTATCCTTTAAAACCGCTCAGCAGTTTCAGTGCCCCTGCAATGTCCAAGCCCATCATTTTAGCCACGGAGTCCCATGCAATTGCTTCCCCCCACCCCCCTTAAATTATCCTTACAACATGCAAAATTCTTCCCTCGCCAAACCTTTCAAGGACTATGTTTCAGCAAGATTCAGCAGGACTCGGCTGAATTATACCTAAGCTCCTAATTGCCAAAAAACCCCACCCCCATTATTCCATTTGGAAGATTGAAAAGGCGAGAGAGGAACGCAAGGAGATCAATACCATGAGATGAAACTGGGGAGGGAAGCATTACGGAAGGAGTGCTAATGAGTGCTGACTTTAGCATGGAAGACACTGCATTGGTATTCTATAGCATCCAACAGCTTGCAGAAGGATCAGCCACCCTGCTCTCATTTACCTTCACAGCAAGCCCTTGGATTGAAAGGGAGCACTTTGCCCAAGGCCTGCCTGGTTGTCTTTTTACCTTTATGAGCTAGTTGCAGTGGGGGCTGGTGCCCATTGGGAGAGGCAGGGTGGAAGGCAGGTAGACCAATAATAGGTGGAGGCAGAACCAATGACAGGCAGAGCCACTGGGGGCTGGCAGGAGGCATACTGGAGTTGGTGGGGCAATGCCCCATTTGTCCCATGGACCAGCCTCCACTGACCGCTTGCAGCACAGCGCTTTAAGCTGATTTTTGCCATGATTCATGGAGCAGTTGTGACAATGTCACAGTGTATCTGATAAAGCTGGGCTTCCCAGAGTGGTCAGTACTGGCCCTCCCCAAGATCAAAAAGTGGCTAGGTGTAGAAAAGAAGTGTGCAAGGCATACTGCGAATAATTTAATTAGGAACCAGGTGCCTCAGAAATGCCAGTGCAGAGTTCAACTCCCTTTCCAATGATGTTAAAGGTAAAGGTAAAGGGACCCCTGGCCATTAGGTCCAGTCGTGGCCGACTCTGGGGTTGCGGTGCTCATCTCGCTTTATTGGCTGAGGAAGCCGGCGTACAGCTTCCGGGTCATGTGGCCAGCATGCTTCTGGCGAATCAGAGCAGCGCATGGAAATGCCGTTTACCTTCCCGCCGGAGCGGTACCTATTTATCTACTTGCACTTTGACGTGCTTTTGAACTGCTAGGTTGGCAGGAGCAGGGACCGAGCAACGGGAGCTCACCCCGTCGCGGGGATTCGAACCACTGACCTTCTGATCGGCAAGTCCTAGAGCCACAGCGCCACCTGCGTCCCTCCAATGATGTTACTCAGTATTTAATAGGCTGTTTTATTTTCCCTAACATTTTTTGATTCCTAGTCATGGAGATTGGTCATTAATAAATGTTGACTATATATCAATATAGGGACGCGGGTGGCGCTGTGGGTAAAAGCCTCAGCGCCTAGGGCTTGCCGATCGAAAGGTCGCGGTTCGAATCCCCGCGGCGGGGTGCGCTCCCGTTGTTTGGTCCCAGCGCCTGCCAACCTAGCAGTTCGAAAGCACTCCCGGGTGCAAGTAGATAAATAGGGACCGCTTACTAGCGGGAAGGTAAACGGCGTTTCCGTGTGCGGCTCTGGCTCACCAGAGCAGCGATGTCACGCTGGCCACGTGACCCGGAAGTGTCTCTGGGCAGCGCTGGCCCCCGGCCTCTTAAGTGAGATGGGCACACAACCCTAGAGTCTGTCAAGACTGGCCCGTATGGGCAGGGGTACCTTTACCTTATATATCAATATATCTCAACTGCATTTTATTTATAGTCATAAGGATTTGGGTTGGGGTTGCTGACAACATTATAAGCTCATCAAGAGATCAAGGGATGAACTCAGAAGTTTGGGAAATGCTGTGAAATCAGCATGGGTTCAAACTTCTGTCATGCATTTCACTATCACCTCACCCCCAAGAGAAACAAAATGTGTACAAAAACCCATATATGGGGGGGGGACAGCACACACAAATTAAGTGGAAATGATGTACAGAAACGCACTATATTAACATACAGAAATTTCTTGCAAAAATGGGCAGAACTATGCATAGTAAGAGAAACACATGGGTTTTCTGGTGCGTTTTGTGTAAAACATATAAAACATGTATACACACTTTGATGCATTTTGTTAAGAAGAAGAATTTGCAAGATGATGTGTAAATGGGCTGCACTGAATTTATAATTGGAAAAATGAGAAAATGAAAAGAACAAAAATTGATAAGACGGGTTGGGTCACAGGATGAGCAAAAGTCACAAGATTTTGGAAGTGCATTGATAAACACTAAGAGGCTGCTGTTTTGCGGCTGGTGATTGAATTCGAGAAGCTGAGAGGCTCTTTTGAGGTGACAGGTATCCCCTTCATATGTGGCACAAAATCAAACACAGGAACCAAATCTACTCTTACAGTGAGTGCTTTACATCCATGCGCATGCCCTCCCTCCAGCACCTGCACAGATGTAACTTGAAGAGGGTGATAACACAGTCCACCTGGCAGAAGCCAGCTCTTGGCTGGCCTGGCAAGGTGGATGGCAATAAAACAAGGTTTAGTGGAACCAAGAAAAGCAAGTGTACTTTCTTCCAACTGCAAAGTATGCAGAGCAGTGACATAATTACACAGCAAGGAAAACACAGGCTACCTGTCTGTGGGGATACAGTAGAAAACTCAGAGCAAAAGAAAAGCAAAAGTAAGAGGGGAAAGGGGGGGGGACAGGGAAGAATGAGAATAGAAAGCAAGTCACTCTTTACCTTAAAAAATATATCATTGTAAGTGTCATTGCTTTGGGGAGAAGTGGGACTCTTGGACCCTTCACCTAGAACGTTGACTGAGCTTTCAGCATGCACACCTTTGGAAGCCCAATGTGGCATTGGCAAATTTCAAAAGCATCTCCACATGGCATGTAGTTAAAACCATGGGATTTTGCTAACATAAGGTGTGGTGATATCCACCAACTTGGACGGATTTAACAAGGAAGTGAAAATTATACAGATAATAAAGCTTACAAGTTATGATGGCCATGCATTACTTCTGTTCAGAGCTTTTTTTTCAGCGGAAACTCACCAGCACTCAGTTCCAACACCTCTAAGGTGGGCACCATTGCCATTATAAGAAAACAAGGGAGGCATTCATGGTGAGTTCCGGCTGGGGTTTGAACCTGGGACATTCCACTTGCAAGGCAGATGCTGTCCCACTGAACCACAACCCTTTTCCTTAGGAATTTGGGTGGCTATGGTGGGTACAAAATGTGGGGCAAGACAAGCCTTTGGTTTGATCTAGCAGGTTCTTCTTCCTCTAGTTTTAACCACCTATTTCAATAGGTCTACTCGGGGTAGACCTATTTACTCCTTTTATTAGATCAAGAAGACCAAGATAGTTGCATCCATAGCAATAAAATAAAATAAAATCAATGCAGACAACATGCTCTGACCTAGATACAAGGCTTCTGATCTCTGTGTTGAAATGAGATGAGTAAGTTCAGAAGCCCAGTGAACAGCCGGATCAAGTTTCAAATGAGAGGTCCAGTTTATGGACGTCTGGCCAAGTCCCAAGGCAGGAGGAGACAGAGACAGAGAAAGACCCATTGCTGCAGAGCAATGTCTGAAAGCATTGGCGAAGGGATGGTGGGTGGTAGTGGCAGAATCACATGTTCAGTTTGCTTCTCCGCCTTCCCTTTAAGCTCTTATGAGCTTAAAATGTTGGAGCGGAAATTCTTATCACAGCATTCAAGCATACACTTTGTGATCAATCAGTGCCAATGCAGTAAAAGGTGGGAGGCAACTGAAGGGTTTTAATTCGTAGGGCAAAAAATCAAGGCCACGCTTCTACAAAATTCTGAAGCCATTTTTTGCAGAAGGTGTGTGTGTGTGTTTTTCAAAAGGGTACAGAATTCTTCTTTAAATAATAATGATGATGCCTTATTCCTGTAGCAACCAGTGCTTTGATGGAACTATCTCTTTGAATCTCTGGAAGAGGATATCTTTCTTAAGGTTTGGCAAATCAATGCAATCGCTCAAGAAAATGGATTAAATACGAGATGATAACTGATTTAAGATTAATAATTCCAATCCATATCTGAAAACTTAAAAAAGAGGGTTTTATTGTTTTTGATGCTTTTGAACATTACCTATATATGTCAATAAACACTGTACAAAATATAAACAAAATTGCCTTTGGAAAAAGAAAGGAGGAGGGTATTTTAATTTTTAAGACTGTTATGATTGATACCTTTGGTCTGTGCTTTTTTTCTAGAAAAATAGGTGCCAGTACTCACCATGAAGTTGTCACAGTAAGTAACAGTAAAGTACAGTAAAGCCTCTACAAGGTTAAATTACGTATAAATGCACATATCAATGAAACTTGCATAGAAAGATGCATTATATTAAAGGAAATTGGTGTGCAGAAATGTGTACATTAGGCAAACTTCCATACAAAAATCTGCATATTTAGATAAATTTGCACTAAAATGCTGGTGAATTTCCACTGGACTTTTTAAAATAGAAAAGAAAAGAAAATGGAAAACTGGTGTGGAAATATCAACAAAGATCTCATTAAATTAAATTGACTTCTCCACATTTTCCCACCAGTTTGCAATTTATTTATATTTTTAAAAGAAGAATTCATTGTGAAAAATCAATCAGCATATTAGTGCAATTTTCTCATAATATACACATTTTGGTATAAATTTTCCTCAATATGCACATTGCTGCAAAATGATTTCCCTTAATATAACACAATTTTTGTATGTTATTCTCACTAACATGTGCATTTTCGGGAACACTGTCTTAGTATGTGTACATTTGCACACTTCACTTGACTGAAAGATACATTGCAAAATTCAGAGAAGTGTGAATTTCGAAGGATAGCCCTGTTTCGGTTTCCATTGTGTTTCAAAAAGCACATGTTTAATAGATTCACTTTAACTGAAACTGAATCAAACGGATCACCCACCCCTAGTCCAAAGTCAAAAATGAGTGCAACAATTAATTTTACATCTGTACAGTAGAGTAGTTTCTTAGCACACCCCCCATCCTCCATCTATGCAACCAATAGACATTAAAATAGTGGAAGGATACATACCATCCAGGCCAAAAGAAAAAAAGGGTGTGAAGGGCCAGACAGAGAGGCCAGGAGAGTTGCATTTGGGCTGAAGGCTCCCTGCCACTACTCAGGATGTTGCTGCCCTACAACTCTCATGGCCTTGCTGAGTGAGACTAATGGAAGGTGTGGCACAGCAACACCCAGAGGGCCCCATAGGTTCCAACACCTATGGTATATGGGAAGAACCTTGGGGAGAAGAGAGGCCCTTCAATTACTCCCTCATTCCAAGCCACAAAGAGCTTTAAAGGTGAGATCAGGTGCTGTGCAAGACCATACTGTGTTTATACCATACCCTACAATATTTTTTCCAATTAAAATGGGGGTGTCAACAAGAACAACAACAACACACCCATCTGACTGGGTTGCCCCAGCAAAAACCTCCCCATACAGGGCTGCCTTCAGATGTCTTCCAAAGGTTTATAGTTAGTTACTTATCTCCTTGGTTCAGGGGTCACATAACTCCATACCCTCCAACATTCCTCTAAAGAGAACAGGGACATCATAAGGAAAAGCGGGATATTCCGAGATCAAATAAAAAACCAGGACAGCTTCTGTGAATTCAGGACTGTCCCTGGAAAATAGGAATGCTTGGAGGGTCTGTTATGCCCAAGCCCACCCAGTGAGCTATATAGATAAATGTAGATTTCAAACTCAGGTCTCCACTGATCCTACACACACACACACACACACACACAAACACACACACACACACTGCTGTGAAAATAAATTGGAAGTGAAAAGAATTATGTACAGCTACTGGAAGTGGGGTGCAAGATTGTGTTAGAATGGATCAAGGTCTTTCTTTCTTTCTTTCTTTCTTTCTTTCTTTCTTTCTTTCTTTCTTTCTTTCATGCAGAGAGAGCCTGCCCTCTTTGAGTTGCGACTTCTATTCCAGGATTTTCCTAGCATAGATTGAAGCTGGACCATGAAAGCCGAGGAGAGACAAAGGAGGTGGAAATAATCTACTGACATTTTCCCATGTGGGTTAAATGCCCCGTCTGCTCCCATTCACTGGGAAACTCCATGGATTCTGCTGGCAATGCCAAAGGTCAGGCACAGCTTTTCTCCTCCTGCTTCTTATTATCCCCTTGATCAGGCCTACAGAGGCTGGAAGTCTATGGGTGGTAAAGACACGGGAGGGTGAGAGAGGCGGGGTGGGGAGAGAAGAAAGGACTCACCTCTGCTCAGCCGGGCTATAGGTCTGTCCGCTTTGGCAACTGCTGACGGTGATGGGGTCAAAGTTTTGGAAGGAGCGCAAGGCCACCCCAGAGATGGCCACGAACGGAGAGCTGAAGGTGATCAGGATGGCCTGGGTATGGTAGAAATGTTGGCTAAGGTCATGAATGACAGGGATAATCAAAGGGTTTTTCCTGCAGCTCAAGCCATGGATTCCTGTCAACAAAGGAAGTAAGGGGTGATGGAGGAAGGAAGGGGGGGGGAGAGACAAGAGTTTTAAATTGTTGTTTTGTTTTCCTTTATTTATTTATTTTTATTCACTTACAGAATTTATACCCCACTTTTCACATGTGTCTCAAAGCGGATCACTAAACAAACAAACAAACAAACAAACAAACAAACAAACGAATAACACGACATCTCAAATTTAAAACTTAAGATCAAAATATCAGATAATAACAACATTAGAGCAGCATTTGTGGTGTATGAGAAGAAATACGAAAGCATATATATATATATATATATATATATATATATATTAATGTTCCTGCTACAGAAGTTCTATCTGCGGTATGGGATCTATGACTCATTGAAACGTAAATCAGTAATCAATTAAAAAAATCAATTTGACCTTGATTGGGTGAGGAATATATTAGCAATTAAAGCTTTTGTTTAAAAAAAAAGTGTTACACGCCCCCTCTGATGACTTTGGACAAAGAATGGACCCCAAAATATTTTGAATAATTAATCTGGTTTTCTCATAAGACAATTTTTACCTGCCGTCTGAAACTTTGAAGGGATGCCCGAAGCATTTTTGTGTGTACAAAACTCCTTGAGCATTTTGCAAAAAAAAAAATTAAAAAATGGTGCTGCACATTTATATGTAGACAACGCATGAGGTTTTGATCCTAAAATAACTTATGAATGTTCGTGGAAGTTGGGGGAAGTGTCCTCTTCCCTCCTGCCTCTTGAAGCTCCCTATGCTTCCCCCTCCAAGCTGATAATATACAAGAGGCCCTTTTAAAAATTGTTGTATTGCTTTAATCGTGTATTTTGATCATATTTTAATGTGTGCATAAATTGCTTTAAGACTTTGTAAACCACTTGGAAACCTATTTTGCCATTAAGCAGTAAATGACAGCAATTGTAGTAGTAGCAGCAGCAAAGTAAAGGGGAAGAACTGTAGTTTAGTGATAGAGCATCTGCTTTGCATACAGAAGGTCCCTGATTCAATCTTTGGCATCAGTCAGTCAAGGCTGGGAACGTCCCCTGTCAGAATCCCTGGATAGTTGCTATCATTAACAGTAGACAATATTGAGCTTAATGGACCAGTAGTCTGATTCATTTTAAGGCTGCTCTCCCTTATACATGGAGGGCAGCACCCCTGAGCAATGTGAGACGAGATAGGGAGGAATCCTCGATAACTGAGCGGAAGTTTGACTGTGATCAAATACTTCATTCACATGAGCTATCTAGATAGGAATTCAGAACAATGCTGTTGCCATACAGACACATTTCACTGATTTATTCTCCCTCCCTTTTACTGTTGATTTTTAGGATTTAAAGTGCACCTGCAGTGCCTGTCCGCTCAGTGAAAATACTTTTTGGTCTTTTTCAGGGCTACTGTAACTTTATGTGGAAGCTTGCAGCTTCTGCCTCTGTTCAGCAAGAACATGACTTTACTGAATTGCCTCTTAATTAGACCACGATAGAGACAGGAACCTGCAGAACAGTTTTCCTTTCATTATGAATTTATTTTTTGTAAAGTAGTGCTATTTTTAAAAATTGCAGGTTGTAGGAGAATTTGTACTATTTTAATTATATTATTTATTTTACTGTAAATTCTTATTGTGGAGTGCCATGAGATATATCGTATGAAAGCTGCCCGTTGTTGTTCAACGTCTTGGATGAAGGGATTAAGGGGATGCTCATCAAATTTGCAGATGACACAAAATTAGGAGGGGTAGCTAATGCCACAGACAGAATCAGAATTCAAAATGACCTTAACAGATTGGAGAACTGAGCCCAAACTAACAAAATGAATTTCAATGGGGACAAATGTAAGGTTCTGCACATAGGCAGGAAGAAGCAGATGCACAAATATAGGACGGGGAACACCTGCCTTACTAGCAGCACTTGTGAAAAGGATCTGAGGGTCTTGATGGACCACAAGCTTAAAATGAGTCTACAGTATGATGCTGCAGCAAAAAAGGCTAATGCTGTTCTAGACTGTATCAACAAAATTAGTGTCCAGATCAAGCCAAGTAATAGTTCCACTCTATTCTGCCTTGGTCAGACTGGAATACTGTGTCCAATTTGAGAAGGATGTTGACAAGCTAGAACATGTGCAGAGGAGGGCAACCAAGATGATCAAGGGTCTGGAAACCAAGCCTTATGAGGAATGGTTGAAGGAGCTGGGTACGTTTAGCCTGGAAAAGAGGAGACTGAGAGGAGATATGATAGCCATCTTCAAATATCTTAAGAGCTGTCACATAGAAGAGGGAACAATCTTGTTTTTTCCCTGCTCTGGAGGGTAGGATTCAAACCAGTGGCTTCAAGTTACAAGAAAACAGATTCCAACTAAACATTAGGAAGAACTTTCTGACAGTAAGAGCTGTTCAACAGTGGAATAGTGTCCCTTGGGAGGTTGCAGATTATCCTCTCTTTGAAGTTTTAAGCAGAGATTGGATGGCCACCTATCACAGATGCAATAGTTGAGATTTGTGCATTGCAGTGGTTGGGGTCCCTTCGAACCCCCTTCAAACTCTATAGTTCTATGATTCTATGAAAGATGGTAGCAAATGCCTTAAATGAATAAAATATATTTCACAGTCAGAAATTTAGAGAAAACCATCAATTAAAGCTCTCTTCCCCACCATTGAACATGAACTGACTAAATAACAGATGTAGTACAGAGCTGCTAGCAAGCTGAATGGAAAGCAATTAGAGTCAGAATCTGGAGACCAAATCTTCTAATTAAAATTGCATAGGATCTTCACTGAACAGGACTAGTCCAGAATAAGTATTACAAGAGCATTGCTGGACAATATAGTGTTTATATCAACTGCCATGTGGAGACATAGCTTTAATTCTGCTTCCAAACAATTTTGGAAAAGCAGAGCTTCACGCACTGCTAAAAGACCTAAGTGGAAATTACTTCAGACACTTTTCTGCTTTCTTATTCAGGTTTGAAGAAGTTATTATGATTGTGTGGACAAGCTCGGTGCCCCAAATCCACTGAAAATGAACATATAATGCAAGCTATCCATCATGAATTCATGTATGCAATTGGTATAGTAATATAATTAGTTGTCAGGTTTGGATCAGAATACCTAAAATATTGCCTCACCCATTGTATACTCAACTGACTCTTCAGGAGTGAGGCTCCTCCAGATTCTACCACATCAAGAAATCCATTCCATATGATATAGGAATAATGCCTTAAGTGTGGTGGCCCCAACCCTTTGAAACTGCCTCCCATTACATATCAGACAAACACTGTCTCTCTTATCTTTCTGAGCTTGCTTTTCCAACCTTGATTTTCACCATCTAGGTCTCAAAGCAGCTTGTGATGACAAAAATATACAACACAGGCAATTAAAAATGCAAATTAAACCTCAACAATTTAAAACCCCAATAATTCGAAAGCAGACAATTTAAAACCTCAGAAAATCTTTTAAGTGGAGAGGGTTTGTTTGTTTTTTGATCCAGTCTGTCTCAGATTTGAAATTGGTTTCATAGATGAATTTATCTGAATTGTTTTCATGTATATGAAATTGCTTTACACATGCTTTTATTGCTGACGTTTTTACTGTTAAATCTATCTGAGGCAATTTCATAGGAAGAGATTAACAGGTGGGGTGAAATAAATAAAATATATAAATAACCACTTCCCTCCAACAGTTTCACAAAGTGACAGTGGAGGCTGGTCCATCAGAGCAAATGGGGCACTGACCCACCAACCTGAACAAGCCTCCACCTACATGCCTTCTCACATACATGAGGCATGGCCCTGCCTGCCACCTCCCTGCTCCACTTCTATCTCAGTGTTTGTTCCTTCAAGAGGAAGGAGAATGGGGCCAAAGCTAGAATTAATTGGCTCCATCTGCTCATGTGCCTGAATCAACCTGCCATAGGTCCCTCTGCCTTCCACCCTCTCCGTCCCAGTGGATTACCAGCCACCATCTGTGATGTACAGATTCTAGCTAAAGTACAGCAGCAGAAAGTACTGCCAACTTTCTCCAGTCCCATGAAATTATATGAAAGAGGGTTCTGTGGGTGTTCCCACCCCCCTTAAAATATTCAGTGAATGCCCATTTATTTACTTTATTTAGTAGTAGTAGTAGTAATAATAATAATAATAATTTATTATTTATACCCCGCCCATCTGGCTGGGTTTCCCCAGCCACTCTGGGCGGCTTCCAACAAAATATTAAAATACAGTGGTCTAGTTGTTTCGTTAATAGTGTTTTATAGATTGTAATTGTTTTACTGATGATTTATTAATTATTCTATATGGTTTGTGCTGTTTTGTGACATTCTAATATGTTATTTATTCTTTCTAAGCCATTTTGCAATTTTTTTGAATGAAAAGCAGCATAGAAATATTACAAATCAAATCAGCTTATCTTATTAAATTTATAGGCTGCTTGATTGGGGGGGGGGACCTCTAAGACAGGGGTTGGCAAGGCTTACCTTGCCTGGGCCAGTTCACTGCCATGGAGCCCCCTCTGTGGGCTGGATCGCGGGCAGCGTGAGTGTGCATGCCTGCGATTTCTGGCGCCTGCATCTGTGCAGATGCGATTTCTGGTGCCGCAAAAGCAATTCCTGGTGCTGCGCTGCACTGCTTTAGCGCAGCACGTGGGGACTCACCAAGTGGGCAGCTCGGTTCAGGGGTGGCTCATGAGCCAGTAAAACAACTCCCATGGGCCTTAGGTTGCCGACTCCTGCTCTAAGATGTTTACAAAGGATGAAACAGTAGCATCAAAAAAATAAAAAAAATAAATTCTCAACTATACTCTAAAACATACCAATGTAAAAATACTATCTGGAGCACTCTGAAACAATGGCTTTTATGATAGTGCAACCAATACTTCTATTTTATCCTATGGTGAAGGACAATAGCCAAACAGGCAGAGGGGTTCTTACCAAGGTCATGGCTCTGGTCTTTGGTGTCAACCAGTTGAACAGAAATGGTCTCCTGCTGATCGAGATCTTCGGTCCCATCTGCAACCAAGTGGATTATAACGGCGGCAGCAACCATTGGTTGTGAAAAGGAAGCCTGGAGAGAGAAGGAAGAAGAACACCAAGATACAGGACTTGCTGGTTTCCTGTGTGGCCCCTCTTGAAGGAAAAACAATTGCTGGCTGACACTTAAAAGTGTATGTAGGGATGGATTATAGATCAGTGGCTGAGAACATGGTAGGCATGCCTGATCAGGCCAATGGCCCATCTAATCCAAAATCCTGTTCTCGGTCAAGCAGATCCCTCTGGGAAACCTGCAAGCAGGACCTGAGTGTGAGAGAACTCTCCCCTCTGTGGCTTCCTGCAACTGGTTTTCAGAAGCATTATTGCCTCCAACTGTGGAGGCAGAGCAGAGCCATCCTGGCTAGGAGCCATCAATAGTTCTGTCCTCCTCAATGAATTTGTCTAATCCCCTTTTAAATTCACCCGAGTTGGTGGCTATCCCTGTCTCTGATAGGTGAGTTCTATTGTGTAACTATGCACTGTGTGAATATGTTCTTTCTTTTAACAGGTCCTAGGTTTTTATTTGTGTGCGTGTGTGCGTGTGTGTATATATATATATATGCATATGCAATTGCATATCATTCTCCCACAATGCAACAGGTGTACAGCAATGTAAAAGCAATCAATCAAACAAAACATTTAGAAGCAATACAGAACCACCATTAAAATGAATGGCAACCCCAGAAAACTGTAAACCTCTGAATAAGCCTGTCAGCATTAACAACAACAACAAAAGTCTTCAAGAGATGCCTGAAAATCAAAAGTGAGGATGCCTGTTGAGTTTCTGTTGGGAGAGAGTTCCACAGTATGGGACTGATGACACCAAATGCCCAAATTCTGGTTAAGGCCAGAATTTCTCTGGAAGACCTCAGTGATCAAGCTGGGCTATATGGTTGTCCTTAAGGTAATCTGAACCCAATTTGCTCATGTTCAGTCCTTGCCATCTCAGGATAATATGCCTGCATTACAAAACGAGAAATATGTGTATTTTCTTAGAGGGGGTTAGTTCTTAATAACATTTTTTTGGATAAAATATATTGTTTCTTCTTGACCAGTGAATTGCCAAAGTGTGCCTTAACTAAGGGAAATGCTTTATAGCTGACAGGGAAATGAACTTATTTTCCCCTCCCTCTTTCATCTTCTGTTCCTCTCTTTTTCTTCTTCCATTCTTTGTTATGAAGAATGCAAGAAGAGTCCTGCTGGTTCAGGCCAAAGACCCATCTACTCCAGCACCCAGGTTTCACAGTGGACAACCAGCTGCCTCACCACCACAAAAACAACTCTCCCAGCTAACTTGTGATTGCCAACAACACTGGTCTTGTCGGAGGCCAATGGATTGTTGATTTATGACACATGGGTGATAATAGATGCATTATGAACATGACAATGCTTGCACTAAAGTATGTTGTTCCACCCATAGAGAAACTGTTTCTGGGAGGAAGAAAGGCCATAGGGAAAGGAAAGACATGTGTATGTAATGAGTGTGCGGGATGGAAGAAAAAATAGTTTTGGTTCAGATTTTAATGTAAACCCTACCCAACATGCAATTTTTAAAACAATATGTCAAATGAGACACAAGCCGTCCTTCAAAATTTGCAGTTCCCAGGATTTGGGGATGTAGTTTCACATCCCAATAAAGTACCAAGATGCGTACATGCATAAAAATGTAAGTGTTGGAGAAAATAGCACCTATGGTGTATTTATACCACTTGATTGTAAATGGCACCACAAAGTTTACATTGTGTGCCATAAAGCAGTATACATTATGGTTTACAGAGGCACTATACCAGTGACAATTGATGGCGAAGATGAGCACATCAGGCAAAATTGCTCACAAAGATGTGTATTTTAGGAGAAATTTGCAAAAAAAAATACGGTGAATTTTCATGAAGGCTTCTTTTTTTTAAAAAAATGAAATTATGCAGAAATGTAAAAATTGAACAAGCATGGAAAACTGAGAAATCAAAATGTAACAACCCCCTCACCCTTTTCTGGACTTTGTATCTGTTTGTAACTTGGAAAATTTACAAACCTTCAGTGAATAGTTTCTCTTTCTCTCTCTCTCCTTCTTTCTCCCCACCCCATGCAATATCTTACCTTGAGCCAGAAAACAGTCTGGGTGTTGTTGGCAGTGCATGGGTACCAAGCATGCTGAGATATTCCATCACTGAAGTCATTCGCTTTGGTTCGGCACACCTAAGAGAAAAGAAGAAGGAGAATCAGCATGAAGTCGAACTGAGCTCTATAAAAAGTCATGGTAAAGTCTATAAAATTATTGAGTAGCCAATGTGGCTCCCTTCAGGCATTGGGGACAACTCCATCAGTCCCAGTCAAAATAGCCAATGGTCAGGGATGATGGGAGCTGTAGTCCAAAGCATCTGGAGTGCATCAGATTGTCTTCCCCTGGTGCAATAAGAAAAGGATAAGTTCTTTACATTTCTTGGTTAATATTTGTTGGGGGAATAAGACAATTAAGCTAAAGCTGGTTATCACAGAATTTTAGAGTTGGAAGAGACCCCAAGGGTCATCTAGTCCATGACATCCATGGCAGATGCTTAAAAACCTCCAAGGAAGGAGAGTCCACCACCTTCTGAGGGAGACCGTTCCACTACTGAACGGCTCTTACTCTCAGAAAGTTATTTCTGATGTTTATGGAGATTATGGAGGAATGAGTTGCAAAACAAATGCACAATGCATCTCTCAAGCACAAAACAATAAAAATGGAGCCAGTGTGGGGTAGTGGATAGATTGCTGGGCTGTGAGTTAGTGAGCTCCAGGTTCAAATCTCCATTTGGACATGAAACTCACTGGGGACTTTTGGCCAGTCATTATTCTGTCAGTCTAACCTCCCTGACAGGCTGTGGTAAGGATAAAATAGAGTGGGGGGTGGAAAATCATATACACTGCATTGAGATGCTTGGAGGAAAAGCATGATATACATGTCATAAACAAACAGAACCACAGAGTTGGAAGGTGTTTGTCTAGTCCAGCACCCAGCAGATGCAGGAAATCTGCTGCTACAACATCCCTGATAGATGGCCCATTCAGTCTCTCCTCAAAAACCTCTAACCAAGGTGAGTCTACCATCAACAAATGCAGTCTGTTAAACAGTTTATTTACCAGGCAACAGGGGATAAACAAACAAACAAATGTGGACTAGCCATGGTAAATAGGGTTAGTTGTAGTAAAACAAAGGACAGTCTCAGAAGAGAGAATGTAAGCCTAACTTGGTGGTATAACCAGTGACCCCTCTGGTCTTCCTGCCCCTGTCCACAGGCCAGGCACCAACAGTTGGACAGGTTAAGCATTGGTCAAGGGCCTCAGGGGTTCAAAGGGGCCCATTGCTGGCCCAATCTGACCACAATGTTATTTTCTGCCCTCTCTGCAAGATCTCTGGATGCTTCTCAATGGTGAGCAGTGGATGGTGGTGTTACTTTTCAGTAGGGGCCAAGCTCAGCTCTCATCTACAATGCCACAGTCCATAGATCTATGAAACTGATCTGTATTCCAGGCTGGACTACAGCTACCCTGGTTGGATGAGGCAAGGGCCTTGCCTGTCTAGGTCTATTTGTGGCACTTTTGCACCACTGAAAGCATGGGTGAGGAAGCTATTGCCTTCTATCCGTGGTTAGACCTGAGGTAGTCAACCTCTTTATTCCTACTGCCCACTAATGCATCTTTCTTGATGGCAAAATTTCCTTACTGCCCACCAGTGCTCAATGGAAGGAGGATTCAGCTTGTGCCGTAGAACCCCCTACCGCACACCTAGAATCCTGAAACGGCCACTAGTGGGCGGTAGGGACCAGGCTGACAACTCCTGGGTTAGACTGTAACTCCCACCCAACACCAGAAGCCAGCATGACCAGTAGTCGGGGATGATGGGAGGTGGAGCCCAGCAAAGCATGTAGGGAGACAGGTTTTCCTCCTCTGCCCCTCTAGTTGTTGGACTTCAACTCCCAGCAGTCCCAGCAGCCAGCATGGCCAACGATCAATGATGGTGGGAGTTACAGTCCAGCAACATCTGGAGGTCCATGGCTTCCCCACCCTTGGCCCAAATGATTGCCCATCAGCTCCCCTTCAGGCTTCTCCCAGATATTTCCAGCTTTGCAGCTTCTAAGCTTCCTCCTGTATTCTCACACTTTTGTATTAAAGAAAACATGGTAAGCAGAGAAGTTTCCGTGGGGATATTTTCAAGACAGGGGTGATGTCGATGGCAAATGAGTTCCACAGTGGCTCAAGTAAGAATAGTTCCCTTATGTCCAGGAGGAAAAAAGTCAAAGCAATGCAAAAGTAGCGCTCCGCATATTTGGAAACAGAGATGCTGGATTGGCCAAAAGTGAGGTAATGATTTCTCTAATTTGAATCCCCAAAGGCTGAGAGCAAAGGAATCTACGGGCAAAACATAAATCAACTTTAATGGGCTGGAAGAAGTTTTTCAGTTTTGTTTAAAAATAAGGAGGCAGCGGGAGGAAGGAAAAAGAAAACCTTGACTGGAACCGAACCTCAACAAGGCTTGCCAGTGGATAGGGTTACATTTTACAACAGTGCAGGACTTTACATAAACTATCTTTGGCATTTGAAATTCATTCCAGCAATTCGACATGTATCATTTTGCAATTCTCCTTTCTTGCATTTTCAGCAGGCTGCCTCTCATTGGGGAGAATGGATGCTTTCTTTCTTTCTTTCTTCTTTCTTTCTTTCTTTCTTTCTTTCTTTCTTTCTTTCTTAAATACCTATCCAGTTAGGGGATTTATCTTACCCACATCTGCAGTTTATATGGCTGACACAAATGGACAGCCTTTCTGGAATTCTATGGACATTGTGGCGTGACTCTTCTCTTCTCTTCCTTTCTCTTCTCTTCTCTTCTCTTTTCCTCTCCTCTCTCTCTCTGAAACCCACTTGGCCCCCAAGAACACAGAGAGGAATGGGAGAGCTGGGGTTTGGCATAGTTCATGTGTCACTTAATGGATGAGTGAGAAACGATATTAAAAGCTGACCCAAACCTCCACTAAAAAACTTGAGCCAAACCCAAAACAAACCATTGTTGAGGTTCAGGAAAGCTCTGATAATTTAAAATATCTATGTTTTTATTTTTGCTGCTGCTACTCCCCCCCTCCAAAAAAAAGCCCACCTCAGCATTTTTCCTGGGTTCTGTCTGCAACCCAGAAGCAGAAATCTTAAAACACAGAGGGGGGAATCTGGTTGGTAGGGCCCTTTTAAAGTTCTGTTTCTGGATCTGAAAGGCTGTACCATGGGAAGCTACAAGTCAGTGTCATAGCATCTGCCTTTGCATGCAAAACATCCCAGATTCAATTCCCAACATCTCCAGGTAAGACCAGAGGAGACTTCTGTCTAAAACCTTAGAGAACTGTTGCCTGACTTTGTTGGTGCATCATTGCTCTGACTCAGTAGAAGGCAGCTTCCTTTGTTTCTATGATTTGTTACTGTTTAATAAGGTCACATCATTTCTTCTGAAAATTGCCTTTTTGTTTGGTCATTGTCTGCCCTTGTAACTTTCAGACAATCTGTCCATTGATGCCAAGTCCCAAACCTGAGATAGCCACATTTCATATATGTCTGGTTTAGACATTTCCAGCAGTGGTTAGCCAAGCCACTGTTATTAATTGCCAACATGAGGTATTTGGAACCATACATAATGTTTGATGTATTATAGTATTTTAATATTCTTTTGGAAGCCGCCCAGAGTGGCTGGGGAAGCCCAGCCAGATGGGCGGGGTATAAATAATAAATTATTATTATTATTATTTATCTGACTTATTTACCATGGAATAATGATTTCTTCATAACTTCAGTTCTACACAGGTGTTCTGCTGTGTGTAAAACCAAAACACAAGAAGCAAGAGTGGGTTGGACACACTAATGTCCACCCTTATCACTCTCCATCTTGTGGAAAGTGGAGGTCAAAAGAACATAAGAAAGCCCTGCTAGATCAGGCCAACAGCGCATCTAGTCTAGCATCCTGTTCTCAAAGTGACCAGCCAGGTACCTGTGGGAAGCCCACCCACAGAACCTGAGTGCAACAGCACTTACCCTATTTGTGTTCCATTGCAACTCCGGCAGTGGAGGAAGAACATAGCCAATGTGGCTGGAAGCCAATAATAGGTTTATTCTCCAGATCCACCCTCAAAGCAATGCAAGGAAAGCAACAAGGAGCAACCAACTTCATGTTAAGGCAAACATAGGTATTGCCCAAAACTGGTGTCTCCATTTCAACTGAATACTCATAAGGAGCGCTCTGCTGGGGGAGGCCAATCCTGTTCTCACAGTAGCCAGTCAGGTGCCTCTGGGGAACCTACAAGCAAACCCTGAGCACAACAGCACTCTGCTCATCTGAAATTCCCTGCAACTGATTTTTCAGAAGCATAGACATGTGCACAGCTTAATGTTAAAAAAAGGAGGGATTGTGGCAATGAGGAAAGAGTATGAAGTAGCAATCCTGCTCCCTCAGCTGCCACAACCTGTGGGGAAGCAGTGGTAGGGGAGAGGCAAAGTTGTAAGGGAGGGAGGAAGCAGAGAGAGATGCAGGCAGAAAAAAAAATGGCTGGTGTGGGTCTGGAACAGATATGTAGCTTCTGCTTGCATCTGTCTTTGGAAGCAGCAGGGGCAAAGAGTAATGGGCTGCAGTGGTAGCAGTAAGTGAGAAGGAGGAAGTCATTCTCTAGGACAGGAAGATGAAGAAATCCTAAACTGTTTTGGCAAGTTTGGGTTAGCTCATTACAGTGGTACCTCGAGTTACATACGCTTCAGGTTACATACGCTTCAGGTTACAGACTCCTCTAACCCAGAAATAGTACCTCGGGTTAAGAACTTTGCTTCAGGATGAGAACAGAAATCGTGCAGCGGCGGCGCAGCGGCAGTAGGAGGCCCCATTAGCTAAAGTGGTGCTTCAGGGTAAGAACAGTTTCAGGTTAAGAATAGACCTCCGGAACGAATTAAGTACGTAACCAGAGGTACCACTGTATCTAGTTAAATATAAAGATAACAAAAACTGTCTGTATCTTTGTCTGTTATCAGTACAGCAAAATTCTGGTATTTTGTATCTCATTTTTTAAGTTTGTATTTTTAAAGCAAAATTTAGTTAGTCGTTAAAAAATTAGTTAAGTTTTAGTTTCTTTAGTTTATTGGATGAATAAAAACAATCCCCTTTATGACTGAGTATGAGTATATATTCAATT